TTGGAAGCCGCCAAGCGCAGTGAACTTCCGAAAAGGTTTCGGAAGGCCGAAGAATTGAAGGTGAGAGCTGAAGAGAAGAAGGGTACGAGTGTCGTTTCGATACCGGACCCTCCCTCGGGCGCACCGTCGTCGTCTTCATCGGCGTCTGCTGCACCAAAGCGTGAGACAGCTGAGGCTACGACGCAGGAGGCGCGTCCTGAAAAGAAGGTACGAGGAGAAAGCTTGAAGAAGCCACGGTTAGAGACTGGAGGTCAGAGTGTTGCTTCAACACCTGTCCCGGGTCTTGCCGGAGGTCAGAGCGCTGCTTCAGCGCCTGGCCCAAGTCCCAACGTCGGTGCAGACTCTGGTGACACTGACATGGGCGAATCACGGAAAAGGTCCCGAGAAACAGGGGACGAAGAAATGGTGACAAATTTCCTGTTATCCTTGAGAACAGGATTTCTAGCATCTGTTGCTGGAGAAACACACCCTGTGTGCCACGAGAAGCTCGAGACTGAGGTGTATGAAGAATATGAAACCTCCTATTGGGACGACATCACAGGGAAGCCACTTCGATCTTGGTCGAAGCATCACGCAGAGAGGAGATCGATGTCGTGACTTCGATGGGAGTCTGGGAAATTATCCCGAGACCCAAAGGAGAGAAGGTGATATCAACTCGGTGGGTAGATGTCAACAAGAAGGACGATCGCAACCCGAAGTACAGGAGTCGCCTGGTGGCCCGCGAGCTCAAGAAGAAGTATGCGGGAAAGGTCTCTGACGAAGCCCACACTCCCAGTTGGGAAGATTTCTATGCATCGATGCCGCCGATCAGCGCACTGCGAACTTTATTCGCACTTGCAACCACCAATCGTGCGCCTGGATTGGACGGTAGAATGCGGGAACTGCCCCGCAACCGATGCCTGGTCTTCTTAGATATCAAGAAAGCTCATTTCTGGGCTGATGCACGAAGGCGTATCTTGGTGGAGCTGCCTATGGAGACTGGCGTAGATACCGAAAAGTATGTCGGTCTTCTAAAGAAGTCTCTCTACGGAACACGAGATGCTCCCGCGAATTGGGAGGCGACCATCCTTCGAGTCATGACGCTCCTAGGATTCGTTCAGGGTCGTTCAAACAGCTGTCTGTACTTTCATCCTGGAAGACAGATCCAAGTGGAAGTCCACGGTGACGATTTCACCGGTCTGGGCTCTAAGGATCATCTCGAATGGTTCGCTACTGAGCTGGGAAAACACTGGACGATTGAAGTCCGTGGATACCTGGGTCCACCTGGAATGGCTGGAACGCAACAGACGATAGACATTCTGAATCGGTTGGTAACGTGGAGTGCAAAAGGCATTGAGCTGGAAGCCGACCCACGTCATGCCGAGATCATCATGAATGAGATGGGATGCGCAGGGGCCAAAGTTTCTTCGGCTCTTGTCAAAGAAAGGGTAGAAGAGGTGGATAGCGCTGAGCCACTCGATCCTGAGGAAATTCCAAGGTATCGATCGGTCAGCATGCGCTTAGCCTACCTAGCACAGGACAGGCCAGACTTGCAGGTACTTGCCAAGGAGTTGGCAAAGGGACTGAAGAATCCCACTACTGCACATTGGACAATGCTCAAGAGAGGAGCACGGTACCTGAGAAGCAGACCTCGTCTGATTCATCTCTTCCCGTATCAGCATTCGATATCTCAATTGGTGGTCTGGACCGATGCGGACCATGCTGGATGTTTGAGAACAGGGAAAAGCACCACTGGCTATTGCATTCGACTTGGAAATTCCACTACGAAAACCAGTTGCAAGAGCCAGGCAGTAATTGCACTTAGCAGTGGTGAGGCTGAATACTATGGCTTAGTTTCCGCTGCTTGCAATGCTCTTGGAGAGCAATCAGTCCCAGTAATTGCACTTAGCAGTGGTGAGGCTGAATACTATGGCTTAGTTTCCGCAGCTTGCAATGCTCTTGGAGAGCAATCAGTCCTGAAGGATTGGGGCATTTGGCTGCCAATCCATGGCTGGATGGATGCCAACACCGGTTTGTCCATTGCTTCAAGACATGGCCTTGGTCGTGTGAAGCATATCGACACTGTGTTCCTTTGGACGCAAGATGCTGTAGCCAAAGGTCGTATTTCCTTGGGAAAGAAACCTACGGCTGAAATGCTGGCAGACTTGCTGACGAAACCACTGGAACAAGCTAGAGTCCGTTACCTGCTTGAGTGCATGAACTACTACTATGCCGAAGGAAGGCATCACCTCGCACTCGACGTCTGAAGGGCTTGAGCCGGGCTAGGACTGAACATAGGACCCTCGTAACTCGGGCACCAGACCTGAGATAGTTCAGCAGCCCTCGGGAGGCGTGTTGACTTGTAAGGGTTCCTATGTAGTATGTTTCACTAATTAACATGGTTAGGATGTTGTTTGTTTCACTACCGCAGCCCTTTTTCAAGGAGGTAGCTAGCTGACAGAGCCCAAAAGTCCGCTGCAATGTATATATATATGTATGTATGTATATATAAAAATATGTATATGTATATATATATATATAACAGTGTATGTGTATATATATATGTATGTATGTAATGTAATTAAATGAAATGTAATGTAATGTAATGGTATGTAATGGTATGTACTGGTATGTAATGGTATGTAATGGTATGTAATGGTATGTAATGGTATGTAATGGTATGTAATGGTATGCAATGGTATGCAATGGTATGTAGTGGTATGTAATGGTATGTAATGGTATGTAATGGTATGTAATGGTATGTAATGGTATGTATGTATGTATGTATGTATGTATGTATGTATGTATGTATGTATGTATGTATGTATGTAATGTATGTAATGTATGTAATGTATGTATGTATGTATTGTATTGTAATGTAATGTACTGTAATGTAATGTAATGTAGTGTAATGTTATGTATGTATGTATGTAATGTAATGTAATGTAATGTAATGTAATGTAATGTAATGTAATGTAATGTATGTATGTATGTAATGTATGTAATGTATGTAATGTATGTAATGTATGTCATATATGTAATGTATGTAATGTATGTAATGTATGTAATGTATGTAATGTATGTAATGTATGTAATGTAATGTAACGTTATGTAATGTAATGCAATGTTATGTAATGTAATGTTATGTAATGTAATGCAATGTTATGTAATGTAATGTTATGTATTGTTATGTAATGGTATGTAATGTTATGTATGTATGTAATGTAATGTAATGTAATGGTATGTAATGGTATGTAATGGTATGTAGTGGTATGTAATGGTATGTAGTGGTATGTAATGGTATGTAATGGTACGTAATGGTATGTAATGGTATGTAATGGTATGTAATGGTATGTAATGGTATGTAATGGTATGTAATGGTATGTAATGGTATGTAATGGTATGTAATGGTATGTAATGGTATGGAATGGTATGTAATGGTATGTAATGGTATGTAATGGTATGTAATGGTATGTAATGGTATGTAATGGTATGTAATGGTATGTAATGGTATGTAATGGTATGTAATGGTATGTATGGTATGTAATGGTATGTAATGGTATGTAATGGTATGTATGGTATGTAATGGTATGTAATGGTATGTAATGGTATGTAATGGTATGTAATGGTATGTAATGGTATGTAATGGTATGTAATGGTATGTAATGGTATGTAATGGTATGTAATGGTATGTAATGGTATGTAATGGTATGTAGTGGTATGTAGTGGTATGTAATGGTATGTAATGGTATGTAATGGTATGTAATGGTATGTAATGGTATGTAATGGTATGTAATGGTATGTAATGGTATGTAATGGTATGTAATGTAATGTAATGGTATGTAATGGTATGTAATGGTATGTAATGGTATGTAATGGTATGTAATGGTATGTAATGGTATGTAATGGTATGTAATGGTATGTAATGGTTATGTAATGGTATGTAATGGTATGTAATGGTATGTAATGGTATGTAATGGTATGTAATGGTATGTAATGGTATGTAATGGTATGTAATGGTATGTAATGGTATGTAATGGTATGTAATGGTATGTAATGGTATGTAATGGTATGTAATGGTATGTAATGGTATGTAATGGTATGTAATGGTATGTAATGGTATGTAATGGTATGTAATGGTATGTAATGGTAATGTCTGTATGTATGTATGTAATGTATGTATGTATAATGTAATGTAATGTAATGTAATTGTAATGTAATGTATATCAATGTATGTATGTATGTGTCAATGTATGTAATGTATGTAATGTAGTATGTATGTAATAATGTATGTAATGTATTCAATGTATGTAATGTATGTAATATGTAATTGTAAACGTAATGATGTAATGTATAATGTATGTAATGTAATGTATGTATGTAGTATGTAATGTAATGTAATGTAATGTAATGTAATGTATGTATGTATGTATGTATGGTAGTACGGTGGTATGTATGTATGTATGTAATGATGTAATGTATGTAATGTATCTAATGTATGTAATGTATGGAATGTATGTATGTTGTTGTATTGTAATGTAATGTCTGTAATGTAATTGTAATGTATGTATGTTATGTATGTATGTATGTATGTAATGTAATGTAATTAATGTATGTAGGTATGATAAAATGTTATGTATTATATATATATGTATATATAGGAAGCAGATTGTATATATTGACTATAGGTAGCACATAGGTACTTTGAGTAAATGCGACCTAGCAAATAGGAGGGTGGACCTCAGAAATGCTGCCAATAGCTTGCAAGTAGAAGGGAAGGGGGTGCAACCTGGGGACCCATACTATTGGGGGGGGGGGGGGGGGGGGGGGGGGGGGGGGGGGGGGGGTAGGAACACGGAACACAAGACCATATATACATATTATTACATGAGATTACATAAATTTAATAGATATCTAATATCTATGTATTTTTATTGTACACACAAATATTATGGGACAGCCCGAACCAGTTACTGATTTCCAAACCGCTAAATGGTCCAGTATCTGGTCGCCCTTGGCAGGTGCTTCACTCTGATGATGCACGAAGCAAAGCGTTGAAGAAGGCGAAACCACAAGCGGAGGCCGTGGCCAATCCTTGCTCTGCCTGGGATAGGATATCTCTGGATTTACACATCCCATCCCTGTTATTTAAAAACCCAGTCCCAAATGATTTCATCCCCTACATTCACCATGGTAAGGAGCCCATCCAGGTGCAGCCGGATGAGTTGCTGCAGCAGCACTTGGATCACTTCCGGCGCAGCCCTGCACCTGGGCTAGCGATGAATGCTGGGAAAGGGTAGGGATAGCCACGAAACTTGGGGACTTCAACGGCAAAAATCGTGATTTAGCCATGAAGAAAGGAAATTTTGATGGAACATCTTAATTAGTAACCAACAACATGGGATCGCTTTTGTGGGAATGTCATGGGGATATAGAACTAACAAAATGATATGGTTGCGTCACAAAGTGGGGGATATACTAAAAAGGCAACTTGAATGAGGATTCAACATGCTTTTCTAAACCTTTGGGCTTTGGGGTGCTTCATTCTGACCCATATCCATATAATGCCCACCCCCCACTGATTGGTGCTTTTCATGGTGAATATGATGATCAACTTGATCAACCACTTGATTTGCGGTCTACTCATTCTATTTATTGGCAAACCCACATTTGGAATAAACGGTCAAATGGTCTGTGTGAGACACTGCCCACTTTTGCAGATTTATGTTTTGTTTTGGGTGTTCCCAACATGAGCCATTGCTCTTGAGCCATCTCTCTGTAGACTCAATGCTATGATTAGATTCCATGTCGGTCCACGGAAAGACACTGTATGCCTTGCACATTTTATGGCATCATTCCAACTTTGATCCGTGATTTTCTCGAAAACATAAGTAAACCTGGTGGTTGTAAGCTGACATCCCACAGAGAAAACACAATATGAATTCTTTGGTCAAGGTGGGAAGCCAGCACTTGGGAACATGATAAAGAATAATTTTCACGATAACGTGTGGAAACACCATTTGAAAGGGTTCAGGGTTTTTGGACGGCCCCGACATAGCCACGAACCCTGGGCCCCCCACATCATTGCAATCCCATTTTGGCATGGTGAATCCAGCTGACTATCGCAGATTCTTCGGGTTGAAACTGCCAACAGCATCGAGGTTGAGACACGTTTTTTCTCATTCCCGTTCATATTTGCTGATTGATTATCAACCAACATCAAAGTTGCCTTAGATTGCGGGTCTATACAGGGGGGTATCCAGTTATCCTTGACAAACGATGATGCCTTTTTGCCACAGCTTAGGGCAATCAAGGGATCCTCCTGGCTGCCTTGGCTGCATGTGACGACGCCCATCAAATCCAGCCGCTTGGAAAGTGTGTCGAATTGTCGTGCAACGTTGAAATATCGGCGGCGTAGCCTTAACATAGCACTGATGACAGGTCATTCAGTCATTTCTTGTCGCGCTTCCAACGATCTGACACTGTAGCGTATGGTACAACGATCTGATTCCACTTGTTCGTGAGACAGGATCCCAACTAATGCAACATTAGTAGATTTGAAGAGGACAACTGCAGGCTCAGTGATGCATCATTATCAGAATTTGCATAGCGGAAAAAAAATTGCCGGGAACCCCAATGACAATTGTCCAAAATCATGGTTTCCTGTCAACGTTTCCTTCAATCCAATCCAATAGTCATGGCATGACAGGATCATCATGCAGCTTCCCCTTCTTCCGAACGGACAGACCATGGAGTCCCTTTGGAGACGAACAGATCCTTTGGCAGCTCGGTTGATCGCTTCATGGACATGGCTGGGAACTCCGATGAATGTCGTATTTTGCATGGAACATGTCGTTTCAAACTGAATAGAAATGGATAGAAGTGGATCGACATGGATCTCCAACATTCTGATGCACAATTTCATCGTCTATGGATCTGAATATAAACTATGTGTTTCCCTCCCAGTTTAGATTCCGGTCTCCCGGTCTCCCTGTCCATCCGAGGCCAAACGCCTGGGTGTTTTTGATGAACATCTTACAGACTTCGTTTATAATGCGATGAAGATAGGGGAGGCCAACCGGGGCCGCGGAAAATCAAAGAAGGCACTTGGAAATCCACAATTTTGATGGGGGTGTAACTAGTTGCGAGCACCATCTCCGAAAAGGAAATGGTGTGTATATATATATGTATATATATATATGTATGGATTTCTGGGAAAATCATCGACCCTCCGGTCATCAAACATGGCAGTGTTAGTTCAATGATTTTCCCATCAAAAGCTCTATTTATAGCCTTTGCATTGCAACGTTTGATTACTGGAGGCTAGTGAATATGGCTAATTGTCCAGCCATGAAACCAGCAGTTGGTTTTTCGGTACAGCAGGAGGTGAAGAAGCGCTTCAAGTCTACTCTGATGGCATCGCAGCTGCTGGAGTTGCTGCAGCAGTTCAGGCGCCACGACTTGAAGAATCACTGGGTTGCGGGAAAATCTACTGGACACCATGGATTTACATAGTAATATATAACTAATAACTATAAAATATCAAGAGCTAAGAGGAAGCTTTCAATTTTCTCAGAAAGCACTTCTGAGATTGGAACTTGGCAGAAACATGTGACACTAGAACAGCAGAGCAAACGCTGGGCCCGTTTCCTTTTTGGGTCCCAGCTTTGAACACTTTGAGTTATTCAGAACCGTAGTGGAGGCGGCCTTCAAGCTGTGTGACGCTGAAGCTGTTTGTTCAGGCCCAAGAAGATTTTGCAGGGCACAGCGCGTGAGAACTTCACAGGCGGAGTTGTTCACACAATCAGCCTCCCGAAAAAGTCGTCAGGATCTCTCCAAATTCAAAAAAAACATGACCCTTTTGAGGAAACCCAATGGTTGTTATAGCAACCTTGAGGCTCAGATGGGTTTGGCTCAGAGATCTTGACTCGCCAAGCCATTCATGGATCCTTTTTGGACGCTTAACCCCTCCACCAGGGTCCTAACGCAAGTGGTTTATTCGAGGTCAGCTACTGAACACCCTCTCGAAGATGGAGCCAAATGAGTTGAAGAAACTGGCGGCTCCCTCGCCCTTTGTGGAGCTGTCCGTGTTCTTCTTGCGGCTTGAATGAGATGTGGAGCAGATTTACCCTTGCAAAGGGGCGCACAAAACAAGGGGTAAGACATCGGAATGTGAAGGAAAAAAATCCTTGTTAATGCTCCCACTTGTAGTGTTTCTGGTGGTTTCATTTTCGTTCGTAAGATTTTATGTCTTGGATGCATTCAGAGATTTTTCAACCAGTGGGGCTCGGTCTTCCACAGCTCATCTCCTCGCAAAGGCAGCAATCCTGTGTATCCCAGGTAGATTCCATCCGAACCCAACAAAGTCATTGATACATAGAATAATGTGCCTTTGCAGTAAATGGGGTGGACAAGGGTTCGGCCCATAGCCCATTTTGAGGTTTTGAACATCTTTTAATCCATCAATTCCTCTGAGGAAAGGAGATTGGCGCAGAAGCAGCGAAATCTTCTTGCCGCAGTTTCAAGGGATTCTATACTACACTGAAGCCCCTCGTCGCATGTGGATTGAGATTGCACAGAGATTTGGTGGTAGCCCTCCATTTGCAATCATTTCTATGTCCTTCACAGTTCCAAGGGTACTGAATCCGGCCAAAATCCATACATATCACAGACATGGTGCCATTATCAGCCCAAGGCAATGACTGTAAACTGTAGATGCTGACTCCACAATTCCGACATTGTTTTCCTGTTTTCCTTTTTAGCTTGAGTTGTGTATCAGATGTAAGATGTGTAGCCACCCCCAAAAGATGCGGAAAAGTACAATCCTACTAGAATAGCAGTGACAAGTTTGGTTCATGAAAACATATCTTTTCTAGCAGGAGGTTCTGTTCTATCACATTTTTTCTTGGGCATGTTATTTCGAAGTAACTCCCCAAACATTTAGTAGTATATAATAAAGCACCTTTTTACATCTTTTGTCTTGTGGGTTACGGGTTCCTTATCATCCCAGCATCTAAGGCCCCGGTCTTGCAGCAGCTTCCCGATGATCGGCTCAAGTTCCTCTTTGCCAAGCGGCCACCGTTGAAGCTGGTGGTTCAGCACCTTCAAAAGATGTCTGAAGGTGCGAAGCGGGGTCCCCAAATGGGTAGATCATGGTGGATTTTTTTCCCATGAATGGCCATGAAGTGGGAAAATGCTGAGAAAGCATCAACTTTTGGGGCATCCTATTTTCAGACAAACTCATTTGGTAGCAATACCCCAAATGTGTGGTGAGCACCAGCGGCTGGAAAAAGGACAACTACTCAGGGTCGCGTCAGCTGCACTGGCAGCTAAGTTGGCACCCTGCAACATCGTTGCTGGGTTATTTGGAACTCATTTTTTCGTATTATCTATTCGAGTCTATTCCAGTGTGGAGAGGCACTACTGTACATGAACACCAGCTGTCTATTATGAAGTCGGGATCTTCATGGTGAAATCCCACAGCTGCAACTGTGCAGGATACTCCAACGACAAAGTTCCAGGGCAAGATCGACCAGAGTTCCTCAGGACATATGAGCCACTAAGCCTCATTATATGCTGGGGGTCATCGAGCGTTGGGACATGCCAATCATAGATCTAATCACAGTTCACTTGACTTTACGATGTATTCCCAAAGGTCATGTTGATACGCCCTGAATTCCCTGGCTGCAGTCCATTCCAATACGTTTCCACCCAGTTTTTCAATTGCCGCCCTGTCATTGACAGTTGGGCCTGCCCATGATTCAGTGAAGACAGAGGTTCTTGGACCAGCACATCTCAGATGACATCTCTGCCTTGGAACCGTTGAAGACGGTGAAATGTATTCTGGACCGCCAGGAATGCCCGTCTCTGATAGGGTCTGTTTGGCTGCAACTTGTCGCAGCGAAGGGGCCAAGTATTGGAGGATCATCCATTTGAACCGATTGAGAATTCATGCAGTTGGCGTGAAGAATCCAGACATTTAGGACAAGCTTGCATTATTGCATCTATGAGCCTAGATGATTTCAATGACTCTGCTGTTGTGCAGGGTACTTTGCGGCTGGCGCGGCATTTCAGCCTTCGTTTGCTGATGGATATGGGGCCGGTGCACGTAGCTTGGCTCTGGATTGGCTTGGGAGTACGGCAATTGTCTCATGTCAGCTTTCTCCGCACGAATCTCTGAAATGGGAAGGTTCTTACCGTCAAGGGTGTGTGTTGTTTTGCGCTTGAGCAAAGACTGGAGCTATACCTTAAGATCTTTGCCCGCTTGATTCCAGACAATGGGATGTTTTGCGAAAGTGCCATGGAATGCATGGTTCATCTCTGACACCAACCTTGGATGCAGCCAATGCAGAGTCTTTTCCAAGGCAGTGGCGGATGACGTGAAGCCGTTCGAACGATTCTTGACGGAGCTGGGTACTCGCCAATCCGTTTCCTGGCAGGAAATACAGATTGGGGAGCCTGTTGGATCATTTTTCCCATTGAAATGGCATTTTTTTTGAGCCCGTGGCATTCTTCGAGTTGAAACGGTGATATCAGACAGCCAGAACTGGATTGAACGAGCTTGCACAGCAAATACTGTTGCTCTGTCATCTTGAATCTCGTTCCCGCCTGCAACCCTTTTATCTCCGCCGTGCATGTTTTGCCGGTCCCTAGGTTTCAGACCATCCGTTGCCGGAGCCCTTTGTGCCCGACAAGATTATGCAGGAGCAGCAAACACCAAGAGCCAAGCTACAGATTGTTGAGTTTGAACGCCATCAAACAAACCATTCAACATTGCAGAGAAATGATCAGGGTATTTACAAGCCCATTCCTCATGGCCTAGCCTAGCCCTGGGAATAAACCATTTGGCAAATCAGCAGTTTGGAGTACGACTGTATATTTTTGCAGAAGCTCAGGATCTGCTGTATCACAGGTCCTCTTTAGATGGGAAATTTACGCATGTGGTGTTTTTCTTGGACTCAACGCCATGACCGTGGTGCCTTTTCAGGCAAGGTCAGGCCATTACCAACTGGACCAACTGGGTTTGTCCGAAAACAGGGTGCAAGAAAAAATCCAGTGACTTAAAACTCAAACCATTTTTCTCATGTGTCATGTGACTTGCAATGAACTGGGATAAGTCTTTCATTTCCGAATTTCCAGGACGACTCCAAACATCATATGGTTGCCAATATCCCATATCCATGATATCCTGAGTATATGCCCATTGTTCTTACTATGAAAATAGTCATAGGTCGCCAGTCGGCCTGAGTCAGCCTGCAGGAGATGGTGAAGGAGCAGAACTTGGTAGACTGGCGGCGGTAGGATACGACTGGGTGCCGGACCCACATTTTTTCCCGCTGATCTAATGATCTAAGATGATCTAAGTGGGTGATTTCACACGGTTTTTCCATTTTTTTTCACTGACTACTTGGAATACGCATCCCAGTAGGACTTGGGTGATTTTTGGGTTCTTTCCGGATTCTGAGGCATCCTTGAACCAGAAATATACCAGTGCAACAGCAGAGAAAGAAAAGTTTTATATACTGTAGGTGGTAAGAATCATAGAAACCTCCGCGGATGACTTTGCATTGTTGCGCACTATCACTGTACTTAGGGATGCAGTGCCAGTTATAAGTTATAAGTGGGTACATAAATTGTAGTTAGAGCAGCCTCATATCCCAACTTGGGTGGTTAATTTCTCATGGTTTTAAACTCGTTTGTAACCCCAACAGCATCCCTCAAGATTCCCCCAAGTAGGTTCTATTCCATTCGATAGATAGATAGATAGATAGATAGATAAATAGATAGATAAATAGATAGATAAATAGATAGATAAATATATTAGATTAGATTAGATTAGATAGATTAGATTAGATAAGATAAGATTAGATTAGATTAGATGAGATTAGATTAGATGAGATTAGCTTAGATTAGACTAGATTAGATCAGATTAGATTAGATAGATCGATTAGACAAGACTAGACTAGACTAGGTTAGGTTAGATTAGATTAGATAGATAGATAGATAGATCGATAGATAGATAAATAGATAAATAGATAGATAAATAGATTAGATTAGATTAGATTAGATTAGATAGATTAGATTAGATTAGATTAGATAGATTAGATTAGATTAGATGAGATTAGATGAGATTAGATTAGATTAGATGAGATTAGATTAGATGAGATTAGATTAGATTAGATTAGCTTAGATTAGACTAGATTAGATCAGATTAGATTAGATAGATCGATTAGACAAGACTAGACTAGGTTAGGTTAGATTAGATTAGATTAGATAGATTAGATTAGATTAGATTAGATTAGATTAGATTAGATAGATTAGATTAGATGAGATTAGATTAGATTAGATTAGATGAGATTAGATTAGATGAGATTAGATTAGATTAGCTTAGATTAGACTAGATTAGATCAGATTAGATAGATCGATTAGACAAGACTAGACTAGGTTAGATTAGATTAGATTAGATAGATAGATAGATAGATATATCCCGCTAAATCCTGTTACATTACCATTTTAGCCCTCCAATTTTTGGGGCCTCACAGAGGTCATGTGAGGACATGACCTCCACTGCGAACCCAGGTAGATCTAATCCTGGAGGGCACTGATGGCAGCGTGCTGGCGCACCGTGTGGTGTGCTGCACGGTGTGCCCCAAACTCTTCAAGAACCTGGTGCCATGTGAAGATCGGCCGAATTTCTGGCGCTTGAAGGACGCCAGAAATAGGGCCAAGTTGCGAAATATGGCTATGGACCCACCATCCCCACCATCCCCGCCATCACCCATAGGTTTGACCCATCCCTATGTCCCTATGTACTGTTCATCCTCCAACTGGTGGTTGCTCTGGGAGGGAGTGAAAATAGCAATTTCCAAGTTCCAACCGTTCCAACCTCTTGGAAGATTTGACCCCATCAGCTAGGGTGTTTGGCCCAGCGGCGAGGACAAGGCTCGATGTTCACTGCAGACGCTGAACGTCATGAAAGAAATTATCTACTCTGGTCGCGTCGAGAGTGATCGTCTGGATCAGATGGGCCCGGCGCAGCACAAGGCCCGAATCCAAGATCAGCATGCCCAATGCCCACTCGACTAATATCAACCACCAAAACAGAGTTGGGACATCAGTCGAATATTCCCATTCTTAGAGCAAGTAGAAGGAGCAACGTATGTGTTTGTCTGAAAATAGTAGGGTACACCAAAACCCCATAGTTATCTTTTTCCCCCATTGGAATTTGCCTTTTTGCGGGCATACCTTATCTTTAGAGACACTCCATATAGCCGGCGCGGATCCGGAGAGTTTGCAGGAATGTCTGAGTATTGCCGCCTGGTTTGGCATGGCCTATGCGCACGAATGGCTGAAGCAGTACCTCCACGGAGCGCAGCCGGAAGAGTTGGCAAGTGTCCCTGCGAGCATTTCCATGCCCAAGCATTGGAAACAACAGCAAATGCCAGCACAGGGATGGCGCTTGGAGAGTGTAAAATCTGATATTTTTCGAAAGTTGCAGGGCGTCCCTTTGTTGAGCTTCAGACTTTTCGGATTTTCAAGTCCCAGTATGATCTCACTCCATTTATTTCACTCTAAAGAAGCTTGATGAATCGTCTCGATGATGCTTGATCTTCCTTTTTTCTATGGATATTGGATACTTTTTGTGCCTGTGAGAATGCATAGCCAAGGTCCTGAACCCAGAGGATGCCAGGCATCTTGGACGCGGTCGAGACTGCCAGGGAAGCGATCCCTACAACAAATTGCAGTTGCGAAGGGCTTGGCGCATTGAGAACTTTACCTTTGGAAGAAATTTCAGCACGAGACTTGGATGAATGGTGAGATTCTTGAACATCCATGAGTATGTTTTAGTGGTTGGATGCAAAGAAAGAGGTGTTGCTCAAAGTTGGGGGGGCATGCTTTTGGAAACATCCAGAGGGGTGTTAGCATGTGTTGGCATGCAGAGGTCTTCACATGATCTGGTGTTCCTAGCCCAGGTCTTCATTTGATACGTCTTGTCCTCTGCACACAAATCGGCATTTTTGTTGGTGCCATCGTGCCATCGTTGCGCGCCAGGAATCATCAAACCTCAAAGAGCTCAAGAAGAATCGGATGTCCTCAATGCCCAAGGTCACAATTCGGGAAGAACTGGCGCAAGCCACGCAGCAGCTGCCTCTCCCGGTAGCTCGGCTCATGAAAGATATGAACGTCACTTTGAAAGAGAGGCGGGTCAAAGATATGGGCAAAAAGTAAGGATCACAATTTCAGGCCCTGGAACAGATTTTAGGTAATTTTTTAGTTGCACCAGCCGCTTCTGCAGTCATGATCCGCCTATCGCATTTGACACTTTGCACATTACACATGTTTAAACCACCTTCGCATAGTGTTCACATGAGAAAATTATCCAGAACTCATACCCTGCTACCAAAGTTAATGATTGTGAACATCGGTTTGTATTTTGTTTGCCTCCTAGTTTTGAATAGTTTTGACATGTTTTGACCATCGCACTCTGTCAGAGGGTTTTCCCTTGTGTTGTCACGTGATTTCAAGGTCAGCAAAGAAATCAACGAAGGTTTCTTGTTGCACGGCACCAAGCCGGACACTGCCAGATCCCCAGTCAAATGTTGTTGCGTGAAACACTTATACTTCCTCTGAAGATCCTACGTGGAAATGGTAACTTTCTATATTCTCCATAGGAAATCGTCTACAAAGAGAGAATCATCCGCTGGCCACTCTTTTTCCATCTTGTTCATCTTGTTCCGCCAGAAAACCATCCGCCTTGTACCTTTGACATACAGCTTTGCTTTGTGTCGCAACTGGCCCCAGAAACCCTGTGGACAGGGCCCAACCGTTCGGCCCAGGTGAAGAAGATCTTATCCGACGGCTTGAACGAGCGCTTTTCGGGTGGACTCTTTGGGCACGGCTCCTACTTGGCAGAGGTGAGGAGCGTGGCAAAAAACCGTCCGGGGTCAGTCCGGGGTCAGCAAGTAAAAACCATGGCTATGGATCAATACCTATGAAAATACCATTTTGAGTGGGTTATTCACATCCATAAATCCCAGCTATTTTGATGTGAACAAAAAAGGGCTACTATTGGTTTTGGCCCATAGCCATATGGGGAAGATGGCCAACAATTGAGTTTAGCCCGAACGAACAAGAATGGCGGATCTATGGGATAGCAGTCATCTGATTTTTCCCATGCTTGACCTGATTCTACCGACCACAAAAAATGAGGGGTATATGACGAAGGACTCGAATCTTTCCAACAGGAATACGGTCACGGTGGATTTCACCGTGGTTGACTCCCCGTTGACTGAAGGATCCAGCAAAGAGCGATCAATATGCCACCCCAGATGCTGGGTGTAGAGCGCTTGCTGGCCATGCCGAGGGCTGCGAAGGAAGCTTGACCTGCAGCCACAAAGGTAAGCATAGCTTTGCAGTCTCTGGTGGAAATGGGCCAAAACAAGATACTCTAGTTGTAACAGGTATATCACCAGGCAAATGTTGAACTGACTAGGGTTAGTCTTGAATCACTGACTGGAATGCTTGTCCAAAGAAAGTGAATAGCATGAATAGCCATGGGCTTCTGGTGCTCCTAACGATTCTAACATAGGTTTTCCATAGGTTTTCAGGAGATTGGAAGACCTGAAGCCACTTATGACGCAGGGTCGGACCCGGCTGGTGCATGAAGCCAAGGAGATGTGTGTTACATGTTCCTCTGCAGGACGGTGCTAGGTGGGGATTGGCTCCGGGGCGTTTCCACGAAAAGTTCATCGTAAGAGGTATAGATTAGTATAGATGCTGCGATTGTACCTTGAAACTCAACAAGTCGACTCTCGACAAACCTTTTGCTTTTTCGGAGGTTTATCATTTGTTTTTGACCTGCCTCGTTTCCAACCTGCACTGCAAGAAACTCATGCGAGCATGCAGCATGTCTGCAGTCCCCTGACACATGTTGAGCTGTCATTGGACACAACTTGCCACCCAACTTTTTCTGGAGTCATCGCGCTGTCATCGAAATCAAAGATCAAGTCCTTGCAAAGACTTTGTATCTCGCGAGATGCGGATGCCTTCTCAACATGAGTCAAATTGAAACCAACTTCTGCTGGAGAGGGTGACTGAGCAACATAAAGCCTGTCCCCGTCCAGCAAAACCGGCACTGGTTTCCTGCTCCAGCTTTGATTTGGCGCTTCTAAATTTTGACAGGATATGAATGGATATACTAATGCATAGAGATATAGGTTGCCATTGGAATATTGGACCGGACCATGTTCAATTCGCCACTGAACATACATTGTTAAAGAGTCGACAGGATGGTTCGTACAGACGATGGATGGAGAGACGAGTCTGCAAAATGGCAGGAGCATTTGGTCCACGTCTAGATCTCAGCTGGAGCGACAATTTGCAACCCATGGGGCCAGCCAACTGATCAAAGCAATCCTAAAGAGGCTTTGCAGACTGCTCAACTTGCTACTGTGATTTGCCATGTACTTGGTCGCAGATGCGGATGGTCGTGTAGAGCATATGGCGTGACTGAGGAATGACAAGCGGGAATTCAGCACAATTCCTGGGATGGATTCGCCCTATCACTCGTTACAGGTCGGGTCTGCCGATTCGGTCTTCGTTCGGAAGCAGTGTGCGCGGGCATGAAAAATTATGAAAACATGATCACCAATGGTAGTGGGGGATTCATTTTTAGTTTTTACATTTTTGAGGCCTCCTACAAGCTAATTCAACATGTGTTGACTCTTTTGAAGGGAGTATACATGGTTTTCGATTTGGATTGGCCAAGTCCCTTGCTTGATCAGCCATCCTGCAAATGGGATCAAATGGGTGCTTTTTGCCAACACTTTGCTGAAACAAGAAGAGACAAAGACATTCGAACAGTTGCTTGGTCTTGTCAAACAATGTGGATTGGATGGACATTGATGTTCCACAGTTGTGGCTGTGTGGTTCTGACTCCAAATGATAGACCTCCAAAGTTGGAGACTTTAATGCGAAACGATCAGCTTTGTGGGTCCATTGCTCAAAGATCTTAGATCGACTTTATCATGTGGACCTGAATGCAACAAATGGTTTTGAGGGATTGGTTGGAAGCGCATCTTTCAAAAAGCTAGGTCGAGATTGGAGGGAGAGTTCATCGACATCGTGAGTACATCCTGACGCACAGTGCGCGGGGCCACAGCAAGTTCTCTGCCAAGTTCTCTGCCAATCCACTAAGGATGGGTCAAAACCGGTGCATTTTGTTTTTGAACAGCCATGAAAAACAGCTGTTTTGATGTTCGCATATGTTCGCCAGTGTAGTGATTGTTTTGATCGCCATTTTAGAGGTTCTGGAATCCTAAATTTCATTTGGAAAGTTTGGTGGCCCATAGAGCTGTCAACAGCCATGTGGCCATTGCTCGTTGGTCATGACAATGTGCTCGTGAGCTGAGGACCGAATCTATCCAGAGTATCTGCTTGCATACAGCAGACAGAACCGTTAGAACCGCTGACAAGCAGCTGAATCTTTGGATGCCTAGGATGGGTCAGATAGCATGTGCGGATGAAATTAGATGCAGTTTAGATTGAGATTTAGATGGTCGAATGCCGCTGCCGGCCAGCACCACTCCATACCTCCGATGGTTCAACCATCCTAGTCTATTTGGTGAACCATATCCATCCATATCCCAAAACCTGGAGCTTGAATCACTTCAAAAGTGACGAAAATGATGACAACCTCGGAGGATGTGCTGGTGACAGTGGCCACGCATGGCCACGCCAAAATAGCCTGAGATGGTTGCAGGATGAGACGGGGTCAACTTTTTTGCATCAACATGTTTGGTTGGTCCCTAGAAAATACACGTGTGATTTGTGATATATTGTTTCAGCCCCCCAAGACTCCAAATGAATTCCATGTTGCTGATGGGCATTAATTTGATTGCAGCAAATGCTCGCATCCATCTCATGCGCATTCCGAAGCTCCCCAGTCGCAGTTACACTTTTTAATGCCCTGGCATTGGGCGCCCAAGGTGTCGCTAAGTTCGTATCCACAGGCAGCAAAAGCCTCAGATTGGTTGGAAGTTAAACCTTTTCAACTACCCATGCACAGAGAGGTATTCTTCAGTCGCCAATTCTGGAATTTCGGGATTCTTAGAGTTGGGATCGTATGACAGGAGATCGGTTGATGCAGGTTGTCACCAGAAGTTCTTTTAACACTTCAGGGACAGCGCTTGCTTGCTATCATTTATGGTGTATATATATAATATTCTCTTCGTTCTTAATCCAACCCCCTGAATGTGATGGCTTGAAAAAATCGAAAGGACCATGCCCATACCTAGCAGTAAGATCATTTCACCAGGGCGCCATATCTCCATTCCAGGTATTCGAGCAGAGATGCAATCCACGCTTTGTTCAGACAGTTGAAGCGAGAGTGGATTCCAAGGAAGTTCCGAGGAACATGACAGAGGCAAAATAGGCGTCCTTGGCCGAAGGAGGTGATGCTGGCAAAGTCCACCCCACAACTAGACCTGGGTAAGGTTGGAAGTGCCCAGATACTGGTGCCATTAGCATGTGCAAAGTGTTTGGTCCAATGAAAACCGCAGCTCGCCAATTTGCTAAACACTCTTGCATTTCAGATTTGAGTTGTTTTGATTCAGTCTGGATTGCAAAAAACTGTAGAGATCGAGCATGTCTTTTTCGATACCTCACATTTCCAATGACTCGCGGGACTGAACATTTGTGGGACTTTGGCTTTTTTGATGGAAGGTGGCAGCAGGTTCCCATACAAGATGTTGCACGAGAAGTCACATGGACATTTTGAGGGAAAAACGGAAGAATATGCTGACTTTCTTAATGGATGAGAAGATCAGAGATGACCTTGACCGTCTGCTTTTCCCTTTTTGAATTCCCAGCATCTCAGCATTTCTGCTCGGGGCCGTGCAACGCCGGTGCCATGGAAGGCTACTACTCGAGGTTCGACAGCTCGGATCTGGAAAAAGCTCTGTCCGAAGACCTGGCTGGGCACAGTACGCAGGGAGCGCATGGATTGAATTATCACCATGGACCGCCTGGGGATGAAGGGCAGACCTTCTTCATGCCCTGCAAGTCCATCATGGGTCAAGGTGGGACGTTGACAGCTTTGTTTCAACTTGTGCAACAGATCAATGGAAACAGTCCGTACGATTCCACAACTTTCTGTGGCATTCCAAAACATTTGATGACATTCCATTAAAAAACATAGTATTAAAAACCATGGCATTCCATAAAAATCATAAGATTCCATCATCATATGAAAGTTTACCGTTTTCACTGATTTGCGGTTTTCTTGTCCGATTGCCCAGGTGCCATGAAGGGTGCGGTGAGTCAAATCAAGGCCTTAGGTCACAAGAAGGCTTTGATCGTCACCGATGCAGTCCTGGTGAAAGTGGGTGCCGTGAAGGCGCTCACGGAGACCTTGGATCAATCGGGCATCGCATATGCCATCTACGATGGCTGTGAACCAAACCCAACATGTGGACAGGTTGAGGCTGGATTGAAGAAGATCAAGGAGGAGCACTGTGACTTCGTGATTTCTTTCGGCGGTGGTTCCCCGCATGATTGTGCCAAGGCCATTGCTTTGACGGCCACCAATGGTGGGGACATTCGTCAAATGGAGGGCGTGGATAAGAGCACGAAACCGATGATGACTATGGTGGCAGTCAACACCACCGCCGGGACGGGTGCTGAGATGACGCGCTTTTGCATCATCACCGATGAGACGCGTCACGTGAAGATGGCCATTGTGGATTGGCGCGTGACTCCAACCTTGGCCGTGAATGACCCCAAAACAATGATTGGCATGCCGAAATCCTTGACAGCGGCCACCGGAATCCAGCAGTGGTGATTTCAATCATTTTTTAGGTCTCTCTCGGATTTTGAGGATAATTATACATTCATTTGCATTCACTCATATACAATTAATATATATATATGATACGTATGTGTAGTATACACTACAACTGACATATTTTCAGCGAGGAATGGACGCCCTGACCCATGCCATCGAAGCTTATGTCTCCACTGCCAGTAACCCGGTGACCGATGCCTGCGCCATTCGGGCCATGAAGTTGATCAGTTCCTATTTGCCGACGGCAGTGGAGGATGGGAAGAATGTCAAGGCCCGCGACATGATGGCGTCGCTGGGATGGAGATAGCCACCATTTTTTGTGGAGATGTTACCCTCTGGTAATTTAACGTAGCTATTGAAAATGGCCATTTATAGTGGATTTTCCCATAAAAAATGGTGATTTTCCATAGCTATGTTAGTTTACCAGAGGGTACTTGAAATGGCGATGATTCCTGACATGAAAGGACACCAACGATTCGAATGGGTTTGGTACCTGAAAAAGGGGTACCCGAGTACCTCATTCGAGTGCGTAATGATCATGTTCTCCATGCACATGTCCATTTGGGGTGTTAAATATCGCTCCATTTTCAGACCAACTAAGTAGGCTTCAAGTTGATTTTCTGCCATTCTTCATTGCTTAAATCCCTATTTTTTTTGATTCTTAAACTGTGAGTTTCCCAAGTTTTCACTTTTTTTCATGCTTGTTGACCCAGGTTGTGATGGGTAAACATGCACTGAGGTACGCGGAGTTCCTGGCTGGCATGGCGTTCAATTCTGCCGGTCTTGGCTATGTGCATGCCATGGCACATCAGCTTGGAGGAATGTACAACTTGCCTCATGGGGTGTGTAACGCCATCTTGCTTGGACCGGTGGAGAAGTACAATGCAAAGTATCCAGGTGCAAATTTGGGGGATAGGTCAAGTTAGCTATGAAATTTCCATATTTTTAACCGGGGGAACAACCATCCAGCATCATCCAGCTATGACGTAGAAGGTACCATCCGGCTACCTGGGATTTGATGCTCATAGTATTGATTTTTGTTACTGATTATTGTCATTGAGTAGTGTTAGTGATCAAAAAAAGTGAATTATTCTCACTGTTTTCGTTCTTGTTCTTATTTTGATATGGGTTAAAGTTACCCTGGTCCCATTGGTACAAAATAGGTCCAATAGGTTTTGTTTGCATGATCCCAACATGTTTACCACGACCAGATCACCCATGTACGGATATGTATGGATATGTACGGATATGTACGGTATATTTACGCGCAAACCTCCTCTTTCGCCCACACGCAACCTTTTAGGGATTCAAAGGACATTCATTCTTAAAGATGTTTCAAAAGAGTTTCTAGGGAATCATGAAATCCCCACCCGGTTAAACTTTAACTTTATATTCAATGTAATTTTCAAGGAGTTTAGGGTTTAAGGTTTAGGTTTTAGGGTTTTAGGGTTTTAGGGTTTTAGGGTGTTAGGGTTTTAGGGTTTTAGGGTTTAGGGTTGATGATATTGATGATGTTGATGATGTTGATGATGTTGATGATGTTGTTGTTGTTGATGATGATGGTGATGATGTAACATTCAACACACAGGTAGCTAAGCTGTGCTTGCAAGATGAAAGCCATGATCCTGGACATGTGCATTTTGTCCCACAAAACACAGTGTTTTTTCATGTTCGGACACGTGGTGGACGTCGGCGCGGGGGCTTGCTTGTATACTTATGCTGTCCCCAAGAAAACACCACTGGTAGGCATGATCCCAAGTGATTTTCTGTTGATTTTGTGGCTCATCGCTAAAGGTATGTTCCAGAGCTCTTCATAGACATTGCTGCTGCTTTGGGCTTCCAGTGTGGTGAGGATAAAGATCTCGCTGTGACCAAGGTGGGATGACTGGTGATGAAAAGGGGGTTTTGCTAAGGTAAACCCTTTATGGTGATTTTGGGGATGGTTTTTGGCAATGACTTTACCACATCACCTGGTTTTACTAAGGATTTTGACCTAATCCGTGTCATCATGAACTGGATATTGCAGTGAAGACACCCATTTTTCAAGTCTGTAGCCTCTGGGAATCCAACACGGCTCTGGAACATCACCATTTTAAAACCGGTGAATCAAACTTACTGGGGCATCAATTTCATAGTTTGCTTCAGAGGGCAACTGCCTGAGGTGTTGGAGTGTATCAAGCTGCTGAAGAACAGAATCGGCATCCCGAAAAACCTGAAAGCCTTTTCTCAGGTGGGTCTGCGGGAGCAAAAACCTAGTTGATTTGTTGATGTCTAGCAAGTATTTCTGTTTCTTTAATGGGAATGGAATGGGGATTTCATGGGATATGCAAGCAACATTAACCAACACTAGGATATTTCTTGTTGGTTGAGTAATTATCATGTAATTATATATATATATGTAGTATACATTGTCAACCTGCCCTTTCTATGTTGGGGACATCAGGTGAAGGTGGAGGATTTCCCACGGCTGGCTGAGAACGCCATGAAAGATGCCTGCGGAGCCACCAATCCCCACCAGCCCAACAAGGAAGAAGTGATTCAGTTGTTCCAAGATGCCTATGATCAGGACATGGGTCATTATAGATGATATTAAATGTCCCCATTTTTCACATCACCCAACCATGAATGGTATATGGTCAATGCCATGGCTATTATTTTCGGTGATGTCCAATATACCCAAAATGGGACAGGCAAACCAACCCCTGCAGGAGGATGAAGAGTCCATTGAGGTGGCCAATTTGCAGCAACAATTAGCCGCCGCCGCAGCCCGCTGCAAAGATTCAGCGTTGCTCAAGAAAGCCATGGACCAACTTCTAAGCTGAGCTACGGCGCCGCGTGCGCCTATAAGGGGCCATGTTTCGGCCCTCAGTGCTATGCTGCTATTTGAATGTTATCAAATGGCCTCTATATATTTTCCACTTTTTCCGGGTTCTGTACCAATGGAGTTGGAATCCGGTGTACAGTGAAAAGTCTGGATATCCTCTGGCCACTTTTGTCTGCCGATTCGTAGCCGCGTTGCCGTTTTCCATGGCTGCGAGTTCCGCTGGGTCTGGGGAATGCCTGCGAGGGGTAAGTTTCGGATGTTTCGGTCACGCGATGTGTGCCATCACAAGTTCCAGCGACAGCAGAGAAAGTGAACAGCAGAGAAAGTCACAAGCTGCCGCGTCGTCCGCATTTTCGGAAACCTGGTCAACACAGGTTCGGAAAGCCAAACTCTTGGAAACGGCAGTCTGAGTTTCCTAAGATTTCAAAGGATGTTCAAATTTGTCCAAGAGTAGGTCCCCCCAAATTCACTAAATCCATTTTGGAAAATTATGTTCTCCCTTGTTCGATGACCTACTGTAGATATTGCGGGCTAAATCCCCGACAAAGCCATGTGAAGTCTTGGCTTCCAGTCGGCTCAAGGCATAGCCTATGGATCCCGACTGATGTGCTTTTCCAAGACGCGAACACATGGCAAAGTCACAACAGCAAAACCAAACACATGGCATCATATGTTCATTTAGATTCAGTATCTATGTACGTGTATATATATACATATTATTATATATTATTATATATTATTATATATTATTATATATATTATTATATATATTATTATATATATTATTATATATATTATTATTATATATATTATTATATATATATGAGCGAAAATGTAGCTTGAACCTGGAAATCACTCGATCCAAACGAGTCCAAATGATGTATCCATAGAAGCTACGGTTTTTCACTTCCTGAAACTGGCAGAACATCAAGCATCGCACACCCCGCGATTCTCGTGTCGGCAGGGATCTTAGCTTCCTGGGCTCTCCGATCTCCAACCAACGAAACCGCCTTAAGACTCGGTTTGAAACAAGCAACACGCGAGACACATCTAGAAACATCAAGAAACCACCCAAAGTAGTGACACTGCATTGCGGGTCATAGATTTAACGGATGTTGTAGATTTCTTTGTGACTTTGCGCTCATATTGATGTTATATATATATACAGCGGGTGCCAGAATTATAGAACGGAACCAGGAGTACAAAAGTACGGTAAAATACCGTACCTTTGTACTCCTCCGGGTTCCGATTCCGCGCGGAGTCGGGAAATTTAATTATAGAACGGGGCCTGGGAAACATTAATTATAGAACGAAAATGGGAAATGTGAGAAAATGGGGGAAAACAGAATTATAGAACAGCAGCGCTCCGACAGGAATTATAGAACGAAAATGGGAAATGTGAGAAAAATGGGGGAAAACAGAATTATAGAACAGCAGCGCTCCGACAAGAATTATAGAACGGGGCCCGGGAAACATTAATTATAGAACGGGGCCCGGGAAACATTAATTATAGAACGAAAATGGGAAATGTGAGAAAAATGGGGGAAAACATAATTATAGAACAGCAGCGCTCCGACAAGAATTATAGAACGACGAAAAAAATTAGGAGTAAATTCAGATACGTTTGTTTTTCACACCTTCCGAGGACAACAGAATTATAGAACAACAGGGTACGGTAAATAACCGTACCTTCGTACTCCTCAACTTCCGTTCTATAATTCCGGCACTGACAGTATACATGTTTTATATACTACGTTTCTATATTTATACATACACACATACATACACACATTACATTACATTACATTACATTGCATTGCATTGCATTGCATTGCATTACATTACATTGCATTGCATTGCATTGCATGCATACATACATACATACATCCATACATACATCCATCCATCCATCCATACATACATACATCCATACATACATCCATCCATCCATCCATCTATCCATCCATACATACATACATCCATCCATCCATCCATACATACATACATCCATCCATCCATCCATCCATACATCCATCCATCCATCCATCCATCCATCCATACATACATATATATATATATTATGTGATTTGATTTACATTCATATGTTCATATGGAGTTGTGTATAAAATCCAATATTGATCCGTCAGCCGATCGGGCCCCATTGATCCTGTTGGTAATCGGACCGCTTCTGGCTCCCCGGAGGCATGCTGGAAGTGCCAAGTCTTTCGATCGATCTCAGTCGCGGGTACTCAGTGTAGCCTTGAAATTTTTATGGAGGGAATGAATTTTCAAAAATGAGGGAGCAATCACTCTGCCGTCCATTAATATTGTTGTTACGTCCTCTTCTTATCTCTTCATATTATGTATTGCGTATTACCACCATTATTTGTTTTGAAAGATGTGTTGTTCTCTCTGTTTTGCGAGATGGGGACACAACTGCATAGTGCAAACAGGGTATATCAACCGTTCAAGGTAAATCCACTCTCTGGGGTAACGAGAGATGGTTTTGTCCAGAAATATGGTACCTCTAAATCCAGTGGTTCATATTTCTTGTCTTTTAGCATGGCCATGAATGCCGGGCCCGCATTTTCAGACCAGATTTTTTGGGAATCTCCTTCTGGTGGTTTGGTAAACATTGCTTGTTTTCCATCCATATCCTGGGACGATCCCGACATGTCGAATAGATTTGGTGTATCCCATCCCGTTGATCCAAGTATTATCCAACATCATCCCAAAAAAAACCAGATGATGCTTAATTTCTATCCCCACATTCCATCATATTCCATCATACTCCATCATATTCCCATGTTGTTGGATATTGTTGGAGAACCAATTTCCTGGCCTTGCAAGGTCCCCAGGAGGACATTTGTGATGGCCGTACCAGTGATTCTACCATGAGTTTTTCAACAGAATGTTGTTGGATAAACATGGATAAACTGATTGGAGCCTGAAATTGAGTTGAAGTTGATGACTGTTGATGTGTTTTTGCACCTTGAGGTTTCTTGAGACGCTTCTTTGTTGATGATTTACTTATGGAACATGTCCCTTGCCACGTTCACCAAAGGTGAAACCTGAGGGATTCAGAAGGAACAACTGCATGAAGGATGCAGGTCCATTCTTTGTAAAGATTTACTGCACGCATCCGCCTGCAGTTAAACCATGTTAAACCCTCAACTCCATATTTCCCTTCGATTCAATCGTTTCCTGTTCTCACATTCTGATGCCTCGATTCGACAGCTAGGATGTGAACATGAAACATATGGATTCCTATGGGACATCTGGAGAAACAATTGGATACATCATATTGGATACCTATGGATACCTATGGGCCCAATATGGACCGGGTCCACCGATCCACCAGGAGGTGGCTTCCTCGAGGGGAAGTCCCACCTCACCAGTTGGCTGGAGCCCTGGTTGATGAGAACTTTGGGGATTCAAAACCATCATTTTCTTTGCGGATTTACGGGGTGGCCCACCATCATTGGGGATTTATAACATTCATATGTAAATAAATAAATCAATATATATATATATATGGGCTTTGAACTATCAAACATATATTGACATGTAATTGTGAAAAATGATGGTTGGTTGATGATTAGTTCGTGGATTGTAGTATACCCTTTATATATTGGGGATTATAATAAGCCAATAGGGGAATCTTGTCTTTACCAACCAGTATAATGGAATGATTCATGCCAGTCTTGGTGTCCATGTTGGGCCTATGTTGGGCCATGTTGAGCCCAAGTTTGGCAACTTAGCCGAATCTAGGTCCCTGTTAAACCATGGAAAAACACACGATTCTTGAGCAATAAAGGCCCCCCCAAGCTCGCGCTTAATAGCTATTGCAATTGCTTCCGGTTAATGCGCGCACACAGAAACGCCTCGGCACTCAGTCGGGAAGATCAGGTCCCAAGCCATTGTCCCAAACTATGTGGTTTTCCCCCGAATTTTTCATACATGCCTGGATTGAAAGCTTTATCACACTGATATGCTGCTGGTGGCCACCAAGAAACCCCAAGTTTTGGTACTTGAATCCCCATGTTTGTTGGTAGTTTATCATCATTTATCATTCTTTTCGCCAGTTAAATTAGTTAAATCATGTCAAATCCCCAATTTTCACCATCGAAATCCCAACTCTTCATGGCTCAGGTGATCAAGGTGCTCGGCTCCTAGAGCAGATGCGCACTTGCGTCCTGGTGCGGGGCCGGATGGGAGGCTGTTAGCAAAAATGGTTGGATGGAGTTGAGTGGCCAAGAAAATGGGTGACTAGCAAAATTAGTAAATATTGGGCATATATATATACATACATATGTATATGTATGTATATATATATATACACATACATACATACATACATATATACATACATACCTACCTACATACATACATACCTACCTACATACATACATACCTACCTACCTACATACATACATACATACCTACCTACATACATACATACATACCTACATACATACATACCTACCTACCTACATACATACATACATACCTACCTACCTACATACATACATACATACCTACCTACCTACATACATACATACATACATACATACATATGTATTTGTATATACATATACATACAGATGTATATGTATATGTATATGTATATGTATATGTATATGTATATGTATATGTATTTGTATGTATATATACATGTATATATATATACACAGCAAAAGATGTGTGACTTGGTCCAGCATGGTCCAACATGGTGCAACAAAAAAGGTACACATTGGGATTTAATTGGGAAACGTGATGACAAATTGGTGATTCATAAGCCCAATAATTGTGATTTAAGTGGGATCGACATTTGATGGTTTGTATTTTTGATCTCCATTTCATTTTCCACCAGAAAATTACAACATTTTGTTTTCTTCCATTTCAAGATGCCACCTGAAAGCGTATTTCAGAAAGGGTAACATATCTTGATGGTTCTGAAGCAACAACCAGGATTTGACCACCAGATGTGACCTCCGAAACATGAACCTGCAAGAGATGGTAAAACAAAACATACCAAGCTATATATATATAGTATATGTGTGTGTATGTATATATATATATATGTATGTAGATATATATATATATGTTGGTAGCGGGCCGCACACCCCGAGCGGCCTTTTCGCTCCACATGGGCCAAAAGTCCCTGCGACATGTTCCACCCTTCGACCTGGCTCTGATCTTACACTCCCAAAACTTTGAAAAACTTTGTTCGCATCCTCATGCAAACTTTCGGGTCACCGATGTGCCCGGAATCTTGGCACCTTCATCGGCGTCCACGCCGGCAGCTTTCATATACAAAACTAGATCCCGCAATTTGGCGGAACCTGAGCTGAAATGAGCAAACAGGTAAGAACGATAGCTACGGATCTCTTCTGAGTGACCAAAAGCAATTTCTCGGTACACCTTGCGATTTTCAAACTTTCCGAACGGCACCAGGCATCTTCCCCAGTGTTCCACTGACACAATGCCGGGTGGTAATTCTTCGTCTTCAGGACTAGGCATCATCATCGACACAGGAGATCCACTCTTTGGCATGGGATTGGAAGACATGCCTGAGCCACCAGAATAGCCGCTAGAGTATGGCACCACGACTTCGCGAGGCGGCTCTTCCTCACAACGGCGCTTGGAGGCATCTGTCATCGATGAAACAACCAATCCAGTCTCAGACGAAGTGCTTTGTTCCAAAGCCTGAACACGCTCCATAACAGCTTGAAAGGCTCCATGCTGGCGAGCCTTATGCACAAGATTCACACAAACGTTGAAATCTTCCACTGTCCAAGTGGGAGAACTGGGATGCAACTGCTTCGGGAATGCTTGCACGGTCATGCTTGCAAACTTAAGCAAATTAGATGTGCCCTGTTTTGCACACTTCTGAGTCAGGTTCTGGCTGCGGATGGCCAGCACGTATATTGCTCACAATATTCTGCAGAAAAACATACGGCTTCAGTATACCTGTACCTCTTATGCAAACCTATGGCAACATCACAAAACGGCAAAAACTTGATTTTTGATCGGGATGTACATGTCCATGACTGCAGGCGACTATATATGCCACATGTCTCTTTCTTGCAACTTGAGATTATTTTGTAGAACTACTTCGGCTGATTAAAACTGTTGGATGACATCACTTCTTCCGGACAACTCTTGGCGGGCTTGGGCTGTTTTTGCATGAACTTACGACGTCGGTCACGTTCCTTGGCTCTAAGCTCAAGCACACTTGCTTCCGGACTGATTTGATATTGGTGAGTCCGAATGCATCCACGCAGCAAATCAAACGCATCGGGGTTTTCTTTTGTTAAGGCATCGGCCAACATTCTATCCGTGGGGATCCAACGTACCACAGCTTGAAGCCTATTTACACTATCCCTTAGAATAATGATATCGATGGCAGTTCTTCTATCCTCAAGTGTGGGGGACGATTTGGAAATCAAGTGATCGAACAAGGACTTACAATCGGTAACGATAAGAACCTTACGACTTGAGATTTGATTCCAATAGCTATGGGGATATCGCTTACCTTCAAGGGCTTCAGCAAGGATTAAAGATACCCATTCACACATGCTCATGGCGCTTGACATGCTTTGGGCTTCAGCGCTCAAAGTTGAGTTCACTACTCGGGGCAAACGATGGCTTCTCCAAAACGCAGGTGACCACTGACACATCTTACCCTCATTGATTGCTTGATCAGTGAAGCTAATAATGAAGCCAGCCTGTGTAGCCCCTGCCTTAGCATTTCCAAAGGCAGCATCGGAGTGACACATGATTGCCAAGCGATCTGGTCTGATCGGACAAAATGTGACCGTTTGGTCTGCATGCTGTTTGGCACGGCGAATTGCTTGATTGACAGCGATCGCATCGGACACTGTCGGGGCTGGAAATGACTGCTGAGAGAATGACACTTGTGTTGCCAAGTCTGGTCGCGATTGAGTACCCAACCAATTCAAACTACCATTGATTGCTCTGAGGCAGCTCACCTCTTTATCCGTCAACAAACTTTCTTTTTCACATTGTCTTTGTTTAGATAAGTGCATAGGACGGATCTTTTGAATGAACTTCTCTTGAGACATTTGTATGGTAAAGTTGACAGGGTCTTGGATATATGACGAGCCACAAAAATCACCATTGCCTTCTCGCCATTTCCTGAACTCAAAAGACTTGCGCAAATGTGCCAAAGCTGCTTCATACTCAGGACCTTGTCCTCCAGTGGCGCAGTCATCAACATGGATACCATATACACCAGACAACTGTTGATTCTTGTCTCGCATGTAGAACAAGCAACAATCAAAACGTGACTGTTCAAACCCAGATTCCAACAACACTTGTTTGAGGCGTTCAAACCAAGCACATGGTGAGTCATTCAAACCATAGACATGACCTAACACTTCTATCAACGCGTCATCTGGTATACCTGGGATTCCACCTGCTGGAAGTCTGGCATATAGAGGCTTGTATTGTTTGGGAAGTTCTCCAGCGGACAAAAAGGTTCCCTTGACATCTCCCAACAACATTTTCCAACGATGGCTTGCTATCAGTTGAAAAACCAAGTTACGGCCAACCTGGGACAAAGTTGGAGATTGCAAATCACCAGCGGCAATTTTCTTCGTCAGGTCGGGATCCAAATGCCCCTGGAGGCACCACCTTGCCTTGACTCGTGGGGCAGTGTCATCTTCTTGTTTTATTGTCATCACAAATCTACTGCCCATGATTCTATGAGAGAAACGTCTACGCACCTGATCGGCCTCAGGGCCCTGTACCACTCGTGCAGCATGCTTACTGAGAATCGTGTTCCATTCCAGTGTTTTTGCTTCATCAACCTTCGCTTGAACTTCAGGAGGATTCTTAGTAACAGGAATTTCCTTAGCTGCTTTCTTAGCCATATATTGTGACAACAAGGCTTCTACAGGAACTTTCTCTTGCCACTGCTTCCACAGCAATTGACGTTCTTGACTGGTCAGTGTAGATTGATGAGATGCCGCAAATTGTTGACATTGATTTGTAACGGCCAACACCTCTACTTCATCAGTCAAACAAGTCTCACATGCTGCATATAGTTGTTCTTGGGTGCGAGCACTCTTGGCTGGCGTTTCCTCTGGAAACCGAGAGGTCTCTACATCACGTTTGACTCCTCGTTCAGCAGGCTCTGACATGACAGTATCGTCAGGTGACGATGGTACATCCAAAACTGGTGATGACACTCCATGCAATGCGTCTCCAACCAGCTGAGGAACTATCTCTTGCATCATTTCAGCAAAATCTTCTTGCACCATCCTACCGGGACGATAGAAACTGGCAGCTACTGACTTTCCATGCGCGCGCCTACGGACTGGGCCATAGCTGGACTCTTCCTCGGTTGAGGGACTTGCATTGCTAGGTTCACCAGTGGTGTCAGCAGCACTTCCGGAATGGACAGCATTGGGATTCATTTCCTCTGGCAAAGGTGTTCCAGGACTGTAAGGTTCATCAGAGATCATCGGTGCTACTTCACCCTCTTGACCCAGTTCCATGGCTGATCTAGGCCCAATTGGCAGGGGAGGCGGCAGCTGTTGTGCCGGCGGCTCGCTTGGAGTGTCACTTCCTCCAGGATACGACTCTGGCACCAAGTCAACATACTGTTTACTTGACATATTACCTTGGTCGATCATGGCTTTGATTCCAAGCAATTCTTGATTGGGCATCTCAACCAACTGTTTTTCTGACTCTGTAGATGGACGGACTTGTTCGGGTGCACATCGAAATATTGATCGTTTATGTAAAATAACCAAATTCCTTCCAACACTTCCCAACACGATTGCTGGGCCATGCCATCTACCCTGATTGTCCAAAACCCCTTTTTGCCACTTTTGACTACGCCAGTATGCCACATACATTCCTGGGGAGTAATGCATTGCTGGTCGGTTCCTGGACGCAAGAGCAAGACGCAAGGATCGGTCATCCTGCAGTTCTATGATTGCTTTTCTGGCTGACTGTCTTACCGCTACCTGCTTAGCTACTTGTTCCTCATACAGTGAGGCAGTGGCTGGAATCAATTCCAACGGCTCATCAAGCAGGTTCTCAGGGATTGCAGGGTTCTTACCAAACACATGTTGAGCTGGGGTCATGCCATACACCTAGATTAACTGATTTTTACAATGAGCTGCATGTACACAATCAGTCCATTCCTTTTGGTTTTCTGGGTTGCGGTCATTCAGAATTTTGTCCAAGATACGGTTAAACCAACCCCCATGAACCTCAACTTTCCCCAACTGCCAGTGAGCGTCAGCAGCAGTGACTTGAACTGCAGCACCTTGTAACTCCAGCGGAACCGTCAGACCATCAACAATGTTTGGTCGGGCTGGATCAACTATGATTTCTTTTGGCATTCCCGCCCAGGACACCCATCGTTCCATAAAAGTCTTCCCAATAAGTTCAGAGGTTTCTCGTTGATATAGTGGCACCATCAGTTGCAGGCTACTACCATAATCCACGATGTTCAGGGCAGGAATCTTCTGGTTGGTCTTCCAGCCTGTGAGATACTTTACATCCAATCCAACCTTTGCGTTGAATTCTGTGACTCTTTGAGTCTGGGTCGGCAGAGCAGGCTTTGGGGCTGCTTGTGATCGGCAATGTTCACAGTCAAAACTTCGAGCTAACTGAATGGCCTGGTCGGATGCACCACCATGTTTCAATATGCGAACCATCTGGTTATTTGGCGGATGCCCCAAATTGGTATGCAGTTTTCGGAGGCTTGTTTGAAGTTTTTCAGCATCATCTCCAGACAACTCGGCGACTCGAGACGCAGCAAGACATTCGGCTGAATCGTCGTGTTCGACGACATGAACTGGTTTACCGTACCCCGAAAACGAGACTCTCAGGACGGCTTTCACAAAAGCAACCGGGTACCTACTGGCAAACTTGCTTACTGACCCTACGGCGGGATGATTACCAGCAATGACACAATGATTAACATGGTCGGGGTGCTGGCTACCAGGACACGTCTTGGCCAAGCATTTCATGTCGGCATGAGACACTTTCAGTCGTGTGGGTTTTCGGATCAGCTCATCACCTGGAATGCGCATGCCGTATCGGCACATGTGCAGGTCAACTGTGAACAACTTGTTGTCAAACCGACTCAACATGTTCCATGCTACAGAATCTTTGGGATGTTCAAACAGAATTCTACCACCGTGTTTCAGCTGTTCATCCATCAACTGGCCACAAAACATGATAAACACTCGTGTCATGAGTTCACATGCCTGACGATCGGAAGAGGACATCTTATCTTTATTCAAGTGGAACCATCCTCCTGCCCATGTGCATGGGGGGCAGCAAACAAGTAATTCTGGTGGAGTTTCACGAACGATCTTTCTCATGGCGTTCCGATCTTCTTGTTTATGAAAATCCCAACCAGTTGACAAGTCTGCAGATAGGCATGTCAAACCATGTTTGGCAGCTTCCAAACCAAAACGGGGTGGTGAAAACACTTCGATGATGTCATATGGCCTTGACTTGGCCTGCCGAGGAATTCCTTGGATCTGTGCAGCAAGCTGGCGGCTCTGCTTTGGTGTCCACTGCATCAGGAGCGCCTCATTTTCATGCAGAGATTCATTCAATGACTCGACATCAACATCCGGACGAAATTGGAACACAGTGCGACCGGTCCATGTACTGGCATTTGACTTACCCCTTATTCGGTTATCATCCCATTTATCACACTCTTGAGTCACTAAATCCCCATTATCCCACACCTTATGTGTACATCTATTCGTGGATAAGGACGACAAGGGGACAGGACATTGGCTGTGATCAGGGCGAAAGGCAGCAGATCTACTCTTGACATGGTGACGGATGACAATCTTCTCACTCTTCCTAACTTCCCAGAAATCTACCTTCTTCCTACGGCTACGGCTGATTTGAACCGAGGAGCATGGCAACGCAGGTGTTTCGGCGTTGGAGGAAACACTCGGGCTCTCGATCACTTCACTGGGAAACTCCGTCACACTGATGACATGTTGACCTGCTTCATTGCAGCTCAGGGGCACCTCTACTGGACCTTGGCGAGAACTTTCAAACAGCTGCAGTGAGTCACGACCAAAATCTACTTTGGCGTCCAACTTCTTCAGGGCAGGGCGAGACAACAACAAGGGCGCATCTCCCTTGACTATGGCAGCACGTACAATACCCCTCCTAGAGGCAATGCAAACTGGCATCTCAACTACCCGCTTGGAAACTTCTCGTTCACCGTTTCCATACCTGAAAACATTAGTCTCACTATGTTCGGCAGCTTGTTGAATCTGCTTTCGATTCCAGATCTCTTGAAAAGAGGCAAGAGTATTTTCACCGATCAACGTACGGCCACACCCACTGTCTAGTACTGCATAGCCAGGGCTGCTCACCAGTAAAACCTCAGTCGATGAAATTCCAGCAGTACACACAAAGTGTTCATCTTGTCCTAGAAGTTCAACAGATCCTGCAGCTGACTCCTTGTGTGAATGGCCACTTTTGCTACCGGCACCCTTACCACCAGACTTTCCAGAACCAGCAGCTCTCGCGTTTTTGCAATCTTTGGCAAAATGCCCCAATTGATTACATCGCCAGCACTTGGAACGCTTCTTGATCTCTTCAATGTCCACTCGGAATGACTTCCGAACATCTTGAGCAGCGGAGAACCTACGATTTTTCTGAAGACGGCTGAGCTCTGCCCTCTTCTCCTTCCATGTTGCAGCCAAGACCTCTTTGGCCTCTTCTTCATCAAGCTCTGCACTATCGGTCAAATCTTCCTGAGCTTCAAGGCCTAGCTCAGAAAGCAGCACATCAAACTCATCGGGCTCAACTTCACCTGGGGGACCTTCATCAAGAGGAGCATGACTATCTACCATGTGGGCACCATATGATCGTTTCTTAGGAACTGTATAGTCAGGAAAGCACGACCTCATGGCTTGGAACACCTCAGCGACCTTCAAGCTTCCTTGACAACGTGCTAGCACCACAGCTCGCTCAGAATCGCTCATGCCACTACAGTTCAGCATGATCCAGCCTTTGGCCTCATCTGGAAAAGTGACGCCAGATTTTCGTGAGCATCGGTTGAACACTTCTTGTGCTCGGGCACACCATTGTCTCAACTGTTCTCCCTCACGGGCTTTCAGTGCAAACACTTCTGCCACATTTTCACCGATTTGATCTTCACCATCTTTTTCGGGCCAACGTCTATCCAGGAGGTCAAAAATGACCTTCTCCCCTCCCGCCTTGTGGTACTCTTCCTCCTTCAGGTGCTCAACCACCTCCAGGGCAGGCCCCTGGAGGAGCGTCCACAGGAATGATCCTCGTGAATCCTCTGCCAGCTTGTCCATCGTACGCATCCTATTGACTGCCCACAATTTCCACCGGCGATATTCCCTCCAGTCACAGTCCTCACCCGAAAAGTATCGGAGTGAGGCCCCCAATTCACCCATGGCTCTGATCTTCCGCGATCCGTGTCACCTGACACTCGCACAGCACTCACCGACCTACCAAGGCGCGGTGAAAACGCCTGGAGCACTATTGGCTCCGCTACCAATGTTGGTAGCGGGCCGCACACCCCGAGCGGCCTTTTCGCTCCACATGGGCCAAAAGTCCCTGCGACATGTTCCACCCTTCGACCTGGCTCTGATCTTACATATATATATATATATGTATATATATATATGTAGATATTTGTAGCTCACATATTTCAACCATCAAATGACATTTTAGCGGTCACGATTTCCAGGTGCATCATCAGCTGAGTTGTCTGTTGATCCACTCAGCGGCCCTACAAGCAGGTCCGATGGGTCCGGGGGCCAGTGAAGTCAACATGGGTCAATTGTGAAAATTGAGGTGGTTATATTAACCATATGTGACTAGTGATATGGTAATATGTGACTAGTGATATGGTAATATGTGACCATATTATCTGATGAACCATTACATCCATTACCATCTTTTTAAACATATCACTAGTCACATATCACTATAATCATCCCATTATCTAATTCAGATCCCACTAGTTATGACCATATTGGACTCAAGTCAGTCAACCATCCCATTTTTGGGTACTCAATGATTTTTTGGGCAGGGTCGACCAGCAAACTATGGCCATTTCAATCCTTTTGTGCAGGGTCGACACCACGTTTAGATCCCGTTTTCAACTATGTTTCAATTGTTGGTGGTTTACAGAGGAAATACACAGACCTGGCTAAAGGGTCAAGAACCTCACCATTGGACCCTCGTACAACTTCTTGGGACCCCTTGGGAGCATTCACTAAACGATCTGCAGTACAATAAGACCATCCAGATCGAACAGATTCACAGCTTCTAAGATGGGTCATCTTGTCGCAATTCCAAATCCAATTGACATCAAATGAGACTGGTTCAAAACTCGACCTTCAACATCCTTCAACCTCTTTACCCGTTGTTGATCAAACATTGCTGGACAATGCCCATCGAACAGTCCGATGATTTCGCCACATGACAGGTCTATATGGAGAGAGTGAAAACCTCGACGAGTGCATGGGCGAGGCCACCTCCAGCTGGGGATGTTGAAAATCTCACCGGACACCTCCAAGATTTGCCGGTCAAACAGCCCGCGATTTTCCCGCAAGAAATCCATTGACATTGGGTTGTGGGTGGCAGCCTGTTTGGCTGGGCTCAAGTCTGGAAAATCACAACCCTTGAGGGTCGGGTGATTTGTTTTCTTTTTGATTCACCTGAAAACTGACCCAGGGACCCAAAGATGGCCATTTTTGTAGGACCCAAAAATCTTCCACAGCTCCATTTTTATTAGGATTCTGCAGATTCCCGGGTCAGTTTTCATTGAGTTTCCCTCAAACTAGATTGTTCATCAGACCCAAGATTGGCCGAAAAGGCCGCTCAAATTTATGGTTGAAACACCCTTCACATTTTTTGGCATATAGGCGGTGATAGAAGAGCACTGTACACAAGCCTCTTACTGGTGGTCATATCCGTTATTTTGAACCACATCAACGGATCATCATATCTCCCATGACAAGTATGGGATATAGCTTAGCTCACCATCACCATGATGGCATATCACCATAGATCACCACGATTTTTTTCATGGAACCCTTCTTTGTTGTCAAACATAGCAACGGAGTTTTTCCACCAATTATAGTTGGATGTCCCAGTTATAAACTAGGTAATTGGTGGATTTGGTGGATTTGACTAGCACTATGCCAACGCACTGCAGTTTTTTCAACATAGCATTGGATTCCCCAGTTTTTTCAAGATCCATTGAGCTCGGGGACTTCAGCCCCACGGCACTGCCACGGCACTGCGCTAGGGCCGGGCTGTGAGACAATCCATCCAAAGTCTTGGTGGGTCCACGGCACTTGGGCGGAACAAGAAACGGCGCCTTTTTCCATCCCCACAATGGGGGCATCATGGGGAGACTTAATGGGGACCCACAATGGGGACATAGAATGTAGATATAACCAGGGTATAGACATAGGATGTACCCTCTGGTAAACGTTTACATAACTATGGAAAGATCCACCATTTTTAAAGGGAAAACTCACTATTTCGACTGGGCCATTTTCAATAGCAAACTGTTAGTCATTACCGGAGGGTAGATATAACATGATATAACCAGAAATATGAACCAGGGGTTGGTTTGAAGATGGACCTTCAAAAACGAACATTTTCCCTTGATTCAATGGCCATTAAGTGAGAGAATTCCCCTCTAATCAATACCAATGCGACCATCCGAATGGGGGTAGAATTATGCAGAAAAGCAGCAGCTACATGACCAACAAAAATTCGTTTCGTACTTCGGTTTTGGTGGGAAGTAACCTAGCTTGGAGGAATGGAGGGTTAGTAAGAATCATTAAGGGGGATTTAGACTTAGACATCCGGAAATGATGGTGCTTCATTGGAGATATTGGAGGACATACTGCTGTTCATGTATCTGCACGGATGGAAATCCCGATCAATGAAGCATGATGATTTTTAGGTTCAGAAGGGCGTTGACAAGGCAATGACGGGAACGCTGAAACTCTGACCAACGATCGATTTGCGCATCCCAAAATGGAGGATTTTTTTTACTAAACTTACTAAACAATATCTAAACATAGAGTAATTTTAAGAACAAGCTTTTATTTTGGTTATATTTATTTTGTTAAACATTAAACAATATCTAAAAATATAGCTTAATATTTGTTTTTATTGTTAACATTTTGTTGATGGGCCGTTGCATTCCACGCCCAGGCCAGGCTTTTCTGCATGGCCCTACGGGATCGAAAGGACGGCGACAAAACCAAACACGCGCGTCAGGTTTTAGGGATACACCAGAAGACAGCAATACCAATTATACACATGACATGTGTGTATTGATATATATATAGGACTGTACATATATATATATATTATATACATATCTTTATAGTATTTCACACATATGTATATATATATATATGTATACATAGCTTTTTCTGACTGATAAACATTGGGAATCCCAAAATCCTAGACCTTTGATTAGAGATGTTTTCCAGCATGGCTTTATTTGCAAAATTGCTTTGCGGCCTGAATTTTGGTGCTGGTCCTGGTTCAAATATACAACCAACATCAACCAACTATAATTGTTTTTTCCAAAACCAGGTTTTGGGATGCTTACTGTATACCATAAACCTAGGGAATCATCATGGGCAACACAAGAATTTCCAATACTACGGGATTCTGAGATCCCATATATCATGTTTGGACCACGGCACACATGTCCAATTCGTGTTATTCAATCTCTTGATTTCTATGTGTAGGAAAAAAAATAACAACCACTTTTGATACAACAAGCAAAATATATGATATGACTAAATGGTTATGACTCATATCTTATTGTGATGTTTTGATTGGTCGAAATACACCGTCACCGTATCTTCCTTGCATCCATAACAATGAATATCTAACACATACAGTAGTATATAGAACTTCCCACGTAGAAAACACCATATTAATGTATCTATTTTGAGTCTGTGGTTGTTCGCAATACCCATCTTGCACTTCTTATTTTTAGTCGACTGCCCGAGCAGATTTTCGGGGCAGGACCTGCGTTCAATGGGAGAAACGTTGAGCACGCGAGTGGATGAGATGGTGGCAGGTGGGGTGGCGACGAAGACCTTGAAAGGTAAGCCGGGGTCAGGCCAAAAAAGGGGAAGGGTCATATTACACTTGATATGTCATATGGATATAGAAGTTGATACAGTTATATGCTGTTATGGTATACAGTTGATACAGTTGATACAGTTGATACAGTTGACCTAGATAACACCGGTAGCATCTCGGTTCTGTCCTTGCTTCAGGTCTTCAAAAGGAGGTCTCTGGAGAGGCAGTGACTGCGCTGGGATGGTGAACGCAAGAAAGATGGAGGGTGATTTCATGTTTTTTTACATGGGACATCTATGGGAAATCTATGGGAAATCTATGGGATAGTGGATTTCACTGGGACTTAACGGTGATTTTTCATGGATTTTAATGGGATTTAATGATGATTTCATGGAATATCACCACCACTTGGGGCTGCAGTTGGGGTTATTGATGGGTATCGCGCTATAACTATGGTAATAATCTTCATATGTTGGGATAAACCGCTGCAACTATGGCACATTTTGCAACTAACTCTTATTCGTGGATCTGCACCCCAAATCATAGAATAGAACGTCTAGTGAGAGTGATTTTTTGGTTTGTGGATTCTCTTGGGCACACGCTTTTGGATTGTTGAAAGACATAGCATTCAACCAACATCAACCAACATCAACCAATCATGGATCCATGTTTTCTTCGATGGAGATCTGTTGGGGAACCTCTGTGGGATGCCAGGATGGTTCTCTGGTGGCGGAGTGCGCGCAGTTGGAAGCTGACCTGGATGTCCGGCAACGTGAGGCAACAGCCCGGCGGAACTGGAATGTCAATTTGAATGGGAGAATTTCAGTGATTTTTTGACTCTGGTAATTTAATACAACTTTGGAACATCACTATAGTAGTGAACAAATGAATAAATCATCTAAATAGGTGATTTCTTATAGCTATGTTAGATTCCCAGAGGAGAACCAATCTGGGAAGACCATTTTTGGGATGTTATTTTCAGCGCGGCGCTAAAAACTAGCGTCCAACTTGGCTGGCTACACTGGTGGCCATGACAAGTGCTTGAAAAAAATGACCTCTACCCGGTTCTTCAATGGTGGACCATCCTTTTCGCCATGGAGATTCTCTTTACAAAAACATTACATATGCTAGGTACAGTACCGCATGATGGTATCTCAAATTTCGAGTGGTAAATGCAGTGGTAAAGGCCAGAAAAAAATGCTGGGCTGAAGCAAATATCGACAAAATGAGTGGCGCTATGGGCACATTCCCTCCAATTTACTTTCCATCATATAGTACCAGAAGCATTTGGAAGGTAATTCAGAAAATGATGCCCTGGTATTCCGTACCCATTCCATACGGATTCCCACCATGTGGGATCCATGTGGGATCCACAATGCCATAAAGGGTCCCCATTTATATATCAAGAATAGCAAGGGGCTATGTTCCAAATCATTCCAAGAAAATCTGGCTATACCTACTTCATCAGCTCCAAAAAAGATGGGGATGGTGACTATGGCGTTGTGGTTCCCCACTATAAACATAAAAGTATATATATATAATTCATTCTCATGATTATGGTTGGTTTGATACTTTTTTATCTGGTTATTGTTGGTAATATACCCCTTAAGAACATTTAAGAACCATATAGATGGGATAAGGCCATGATTATTGTGGATCCCCCATTCATACCCCACTGACAGACACTAGTACTGTATACCCCATGATAAACCAATATTAATCCCGATCATACCCTGCAGCAAGAATGATAACAATGATAAGAATGATACTATCACATGACAATATAACTGTAGTAGTAATATAAGCATGCTAATCATGTAATAACAGTAATAATGGCAATATTACCAATACTAACAACAATAACGATCATATTGATCGTAACTCTAAAGATAAAGTTCATCTTACTTATCATGATTGTATATAATGATAATGAACTCAGTAATCGTAACTTATAATCATAGTTACACTCATCATACCCGATTAAGCAGGAATAATTTTGGTGTATTTTCAAGAGGCACAATGAAGCTGTACGCTGCGGCCTGTGTCTGATTTTGGTGTATATATATGGTATAATTATGGGGTATCACAAATCATAAAGACCACCAATTAAGATACCAATATATATATATAGATATTTATATATACAATAGTAGCAAGAACGACCACAATTGTTGTATCTATGTATCTATGTATCTATGTATCTATGTATCTATGTATGTATCTATCCACAGATGTCCTTTTCCCATTGGTTGGTTGATTAATAGAGGGGTTTGAAACTACCCGTTTAACAACAGGTAAATGATGATAGATGGTATACCAAACCGGCCCCTCTATTTTTACCAAAAGGACATTATTGTATCTATCGATCTATTCATCTATCCATCCATCCATCCATCCATCCATCTATCCATCCATCCATCCATCCATCCATCCATCTATCTATCTATCTTTATACATATGTATATGCATATATATATATATATATATATCATACCCCATATATACCCGACAGTTTTTAGCATCGGCCGCTGCTCAGCTCCCATTTGGCGCAGGCCAAACGCCTGCGTGCGCAGCGGGCGCAGCAGCGGCAGCAGCGGGAAGATGCTCAGCGAAAGCGCGCCAGGGGGCCCCGAGTCATCAAACTTGAGGAAATTTATGAATTATGGCATTTTCATAGGGGAACATGATGGGAAAAAATGGATCTAGCCCCAAAATTATGGCAATTTGGTTTGGAAAATGATCATCGAGCATTTTTTGGTTTTAATTATGTCCCAATTTTTCTTGGACAAATTTTATTTATTTTTTTCTGCTAGTTATATCACCATGAAAGATCCATGTGGGTTTGTCTAAAAAAATGCTATGGGCGCAATTTATAGCACTTTTGACAAAACATGATCAATGATGGCATTTTTGGGTCGTACCCAAGTCACTATTATACTATTGGATTGGCTGGAATATTCTCATATTTACATTCTTGCTGGTCAAATCCTACCACCTATATAGCCTATGGGGTATCTGTGGCCATGTTCTTTTATGGAAAAAAGAGGAAACTTCTGAGCGGAATGGCGGAATGGCGGAATGGGGTTGTTCATGTTGTTAATTTTCAGACAAGTCCTGGGAATTTCAGACTCCAGCTGGGAGTTCATGGGATTGTCATGAACTTTCCATCGCAATTTTCCAATGGCGCATCTGATCTCCCAAGAGATTGAAATGCCCACAATGGTGACACCACTGAAACAACAGGATGAAACCATCAAAAAAGAAGACTCAATCGGAGAACGGGGGAAGCTGACTGTGCTGGAAGATTGCCATTTTGTGGGGTCCCATTTGGATTTTGAATCAAACAGTGAGAAATGTGAGACCTGACCAGATCATGAATTTTGATAACCTAAAAGGCATGTCCAAAAGGTAGTAATTATCGTCATTTTGAAAAGACCCTATTCCTTTCCAGGTTGAAACTCAGCACTGGGGATATAGCCGCTCCAGCGGGAACGCAACCAACGCAATCATTGACATCGGTGGGTCAACCCGAGAAGAGTCGGTACAGTGTAACCAGCCTGATGTAATCCGAAACTGTGATAAAACATCTGGGTATAGATACGTGCCTGCACCATCCTGCACCTAAATTGGTCATATCCATATGGGATTTCCACAATGAAATGCTTTTGAATTTTCACCTTTTGAGCATGAACACCTAAGGTCTTTGAGGAAGCAGCTAAGTGCGGGACCTTGTTTCTGTACACCTTGGAAGGTTCCAAAAATTCTGGGGCCATATGGTACCTCCTTTCCCAGCATCTGAAGGGTAGAATGATTCGTTCATCCTGATTGATTTGGACCTGAGGGTGATGGGTGATTCACCCTAATCAAATTTGAATTGGAATTGATTTTCTTTCAATTCAGTAATGCTTGGCTCGTTGGAGTCTCTGCATGTTGACAGCACGAAACTCAGCATGTTGCTGAGATCTTTCGGCATTTGTCGTATGTGCAGATACCATTTTGGGATGCCATATATACGTAATATAATGACATGACATGTAATGTACTGTCATGTCATGTCATGTCATGTCGTGGCATGCCATGTCATGTCATGCAATGCAATGTATTATATATGTAAGTAATTATGTATATGTAAGTAAGTATGTATATGTAATTATGTATGTATATGTAATCACACACATATATATATATATATATACGGCAGGGGGCGGGGGTTCCCCGAGAGGATGTCAATCAGGATCATTGAATTGGAGAAAAAACAGTGTTTCACTGTGGTAAAATGGAGATTTTTCATGTTGTTCTTTTCATTGTTGGTGTCTTTTAATTACGGATCAATTTTTTTTCGTCCGTCGAAGTTGAAGTCAGTTATGGACCCTCACATTTTGTTTTTTTGGTGCTCTCATTTTCTCCATTGGAATTACGAGGTGGACTTTTTGTTTTATATCAAAGATCATTGGAAAAGGGTATAATATACTGTGTTTCCACAGGTATTTTGATGTGATGCTGTTTTTCATTGGTAATTCACAGTGTTTTTGCATAGCATCAAAAGTTCCGAATGCTGACAGTCAGCTGTTTTTTTCTGTTTTTATACAAAAGCATTAGTACAAGACATATCAACCACTATAGAAGGCACAAACCCGACCAATTCAAATGTTATTCTATGCAACAAGATACCATCGTAGAACATTAAAATAAAATATAACGATGGTGGTACATTATGTTAGGATACCGATACATTTTGCTTGATTGGGATAAATCATTATTTGTGTTCCGCCACAAACGCCGCAATCGTTCGCGGCCAAGTCCCATCTGGGTCACCCAACCTCAAGCACGCAGCAGGCATGTGCCACCCGCAATCCCCCCCGTGCTGCGTGGAACACAGAACCCTACGAAGATGTACTTCTATCTCATTTTATATGAACAGATTTCTTTTCTGATGGCAAGACTATGCGGATCAGCATAGTGTCCCGTTGCGTTGAGTCAGGTCTTATTTGCTCTCTCAGGCGTCCCACGGTGCTTCTTTGAAGACTAACGCAGGCTGCCGGCAACTTTTCATTGCCAACTCCTTGAAGCGTGCGAGTGCATTCAAGACACTTTCCAAACCAGGCTTTTTGCTTACATAGTGCACTGCTAGAACGTTGCGATGTTCGATGGGGTCGTTGACAACCTTCTGCAATCCGTGGCGTCTCAGCTGTGACTTTGTCACAGCAGCCAAGGACTCGGCCACGTTGTCTCCACCCACCAGCAGAAATGAAGTACGGGATTCCTTGCAACATCCTTGTTTGGTCAAGTGTCTCAAAAGACTGACCTCATCTGTACGGAGTCCCTTTTTGGGAATGGTGCTCAAAGGAGTAAAAAGGTGGCGGCGTATGTGAGAAACGCCTTGCAGGCTGGGTGTTCCAGCCATCTTGGCTGCTGCTTGCAGCGATCGACTTCCATCTGCGGCAGCCAAGTGTTGCCCCTTGCGCAACTTCGACATGACTGGAATCACAGTTTCCGCTAGCGATTCCGGACCAGCAGCTGGGCCTCCGAACACAAATGAGCAAGGTTATGTTAGTACTTGAGAAAGCACAAGCGGGACAGGGGAAACCGACCAACTGAAAAAAGAAAAAATCCTTCAATAGTGTCTAGGTGGAAACATTTCAAAATGTTTGTGAGTCGAAAGTGCCTTTGTCTGCTACTTTTGGCGGCAGCGGTAGGACAGCATATTGCTTGGTCGCAACGGAACCGTCGACACAGCGAAGCTTGAATACGATGTGACGTCCTCGAAAAATCTTGTTAGTCTTTTTCGAACTGCTCGCAGGTCTCTTCATCACCGGCATCCTCTTGCGCTTCAAAAACTTGTTGGCTTTTCTTTCCACTTTGTAACGCTTTTGTTTGGCATGTTGGACCGCACTCTGAGATGCTTTGCGTTGGACTGTGGCAGTGCATGTGTCAAACTCAAGAATGCCTGCAGGAAACTCAAATGAAGTAGAATCCAGATACTCACAGGTCGCCAGTGCAAGACGAATGTCTTGCGCCCACGCAGTCATTCGCTTCACAGTGACTCCTTCCAGGAGATGCTCCATTGAATCCATGGGTGTTTTGATTCCTATTAGGTAGCAAATGCGCAGGAAATTGGTGTAGTCGCCATCCTGATGTTGACGCACTTGCGAATGCAATGGAGTGAAAGCCTCCACCGGAAACGTCAATTTCGGATGTATATAGCAGCTTTTCGTGGTACACTTCAGTTCATCATTCACATTGCGGCCACTCCGTACCATTTCTTCTCCACATGAGAAACAAAGAGGAAGTTGATCTGAAAGGACCCCGTGTTGCCAGAGAAATTTTTTACACGTCTTTTCACCCCAGCTGCAAAGTTCTGGGTAGGAGACTTGTTTGAGATCCCTCAAGGCATGGGTACCACTGCTGGACGATGTCGAATACTGAATTTGCAAGTCTTTGTGTTGCGAATTTTTTTGGGCAACGGCTCCTTTAGAGAAAACCTTTTCGGCTTTACCCTTCTTTAAAGTACCCAAGTGTTTCACTTTGGGCATGTCGGGAAAATTGTTTGTGGGAAAAATGGCTGCGGACAAACAGAGTTGGCTCCGCCTTGCAACGGACCCTCACTTCCATATGCAATGTCACGATGATGTGGGCACTGCCGCATATTGCCGCAGCCTTTTTCACGCAACTGCAGCTCAGTCCATGGCATTTCTTGCCAAAGCATTCGACATGTCACTATACTTGCGCTTCTGTAGCAGCGGAAATTGCTTTACCTCTGAGCTCGTTGCCAGTCTCATTTCCCAACATTCACGCCTTCCGCCTGAGGACTTCCACCATTTGTTGCAGATCCTCGGATTGACTTTGAATCATCATCATGACCGGCACCATCATCATCATCATCATCATCAACATCATCATCATCATCATCATCATCAACCTCAGCAACAGCATCAACCAGACCAAACACATCAAGATCAAGGAGCAAATGCTTCCAAGAAAAACGAAAGTCTCGTGGACAAAACGGCCAAGGCGCAAGAATGCCTTGCCACGCCTCTCCGGTGCACAAGTGCTGGGAAAGACATGTGGAGAACGCGCGCAGCCATGTACCGGGCATGCACCCCACTTATACTGCTTGCTGTTCTTGTCAGTGATGCATGGGTCATCATGCCCGGAAGACGGCAAAAGGGCTGAAGAGGAAGAAGGCAGAGATGGTCTGGAAACATCACATGGAGAAGGAATGTCTGGTACGTTTTCCTCATCTGATACGAAAACTTCTCTTTGATACCACAACTTGAATTTCTTGGTCTCAGGAGAATCATCTGGCACCAATGGCTCCGAAGCTCCAGCAGGGTCATCAGAGGACAATCTAAAATACCTGGCTTCCGTCCTTGGCGAGATCACACCAGGATCAGGTCGCAAACGTTTTCGCGGAGGAGTCTGCAGATGGACATCCGCATATGCGTCTGCAACAGAACAAGCAACCACTTCCACATCAGTGCGCTGCGCCTCCTCATCGCGAAGCGCAGCGTTGACTTCCTCTTCACTCCAGTGAAAACATGGAAAGCATACATTGAACCAGTATGGAAATTCCAAAAGGTGCCGCCATGGAGAAAAGCGACGTAACATGACTCTAACCGCAGCCTCCACACATTCCGGCAACGGTTTGGACTTCACACGATCTATCCAAGTTTTCTGCAGCAAACGATGGTGAGTCAGCAAACAATGCAATCGTTTCTCCCACCAGTCATGAATCAAAACAACATGCAGCGTCCAAGCAGCGGCACTCGTAGAAACATCTTGGCCGCTACTTTCCAGAGCTAACATAAGCAAAGAATCTAAGTACTCTCCAGAACACCTCCACAGAGGCAAAAGCTCCTTGTGAGGAGCATCACATGAAGCCAAGCGCAAAAAAATAATGAAACATATGGACAGCAACTGTTGTACGGAAAGTGACCTCATTATTGAGCCCGAGGAAGGCTAGCATCTCGAAAATCTCTGTCGCATAATGCCGAGATGTGAGAAACGAAGCAGTTCATGTCTCGTATGATGTTACTATGATGCAGAAAAAACAATATACATACGTGTTTATTGATATGCAAGTTCAATGCCTTTTCTGATCTATGACAGTAATCCCTGGATCCCCAATGTTATGTGTGCAATTTGCACTATCGATTTCTTTGGTATCCTATTTAGAATTAAGATGGCCCAAAAAGTGTTATCTTTAAGTGACTACAAATAATGTTATTCCAAACCAATCGCCATCCGTTGCTGCCAAGCGTAATCCATCCACACAACGACAACGCATCTGAGGTAGTGGCCTGAAGCCGGAGAAAAGTACCGACAAAAACCAAAAAGAAATCCAAACATGGTGAGTTGCCGATCAACCAGAAGCACTATGGGGTACATATAATAATGAAATGATATCTATATAAGTTTCCCACCCACCCACCCGTAGCATCTACTTCCCGTGCTTGTTCGAGAGAACTTACAGTAGCGTAGCAGGACTCATGCATGACAAGTACAAGAGACATCACACTAGCGTAGCTTGACGTATGCGTGACAAGTACAAGATAACTTACAGTAGCGTAGCAGGACTCATGCATGACAAGTACAAGAGACAACACACTAGCGTAGCATGACGTGTGCGTGACAAGTGCAAGATAACTTACACTAGCGTAGCAGGACTCATGCATGACAAGTACAAGAGACATCACACTAGCGTAGCTTGACGTATGCGTGACAAGTACAAGATAACTTACACTAGCGTAGCAGGACTCATGCATGACAAGTACAAGAGACATCACACTAGCGTAGCTTGACGTATGCGTGACAAGTACAAGATAACTTACAGTAGCGTAGCAGGACTCATGCATGACAAGTACAAGAGACATCACACTAGCGTAGCTTGACGTATGCGTGACAAGTACAAGATAACTTACACTAGCGTAGCAGGACTCATGCATGACAAGTACAAGAGACATCACACTAGCGTAGCTTGACGTATGCGTGACAAGTACAAGATAACTTACAGTAGCGTAGCAGGACTCATGCATGACAAGTACAAGAGACATCACACTAGCGTAGCATGACGTGTGCGTGACAAGTACAAGATAACTTACACTAGCGTAGCAGGACTCATGCATGACAAGTACAAGAGACATCACACTAGCGTAGCTTGACGTATGCATGACAAGTACAAGATAACTTACACTAGCGTAGCAGGACTTTTCAACCCCCACCCCCCCCACCCCACCCCACCCGAACCCTTCACCAATTCCATGACCGGTTATCAGCACACCCCCCACCCACCCCACCACCGCACCCGAACCCTTCCCCGCACGTTTAGATGAACGTTATCACAAAAACCCCACCCCACCCCACCCTAACACCTTCACGCAACTTACATACACGTTATCACACCCCCCCCACCCCCCCACCCCAAAACCCTTCACGCAAGTTCCATGAACGTTATCACACCCACCCCACTCCACCCCACCCCAGCCCACCCCACCCCTTCCCCCCCTCGGGGAACCCCCGCCCCCTAGGGTATATATATATATACATACATGTAATCATATATATATATACACACGTGATCATATATATATATACACATAGATAGATTAGACTAGATTAGATTAGATTAGATCGGATCGGATTGGATTAGATTGGATAGATACATATTCCACTAAAGCCATTGTTGTAGAACATTTCGACCCAATTTCCACCAGCTGGAAACTTGATGGCTGTTATCAATCTATCCTCATTACTGTTAGTTGGATCAGCCGAGTCTTACGCATCATTTAGCCATACCCCTTCGATAAAAACCACGGGTTCTCTTAGAACATGCTCAACACCTGTTCTCATGTACCCATTTGGCAATCACAGATTGCTGGAAAATCCGCCATTATTTGTAGATAATTTTCCAATTTCAATGCCTATTTATACAATGTGGGGCCCCCAACAGTTATCAGTTGGTTTAAAAAAACCCAGTAACTAGTTCGTGATAAGTACCATAATCATCCATAAACCAGACTTATTGGAGTTATGTGCACCAACTTAGCGATTTCGTTAACGGGGGCCGCACCAGATGGGGATTTCTCTGGTGGGGTCACTGCGGCATCCCCTGCATCCCAGGGTCAAAGCATTGGAGGAGCGACGCCAGGCGACTTTCGTGACGCTATGAATCGATGATCCTATCAAGAGTGGGGGTGCATCGGGCACACACACATATATGTATATGATTGTATATGTATATGTATATGTATATGTATATGTATATGTATATGTATATGTATATGTATGTATATATATATATGCACAGTATATATATATATATACGACTATAGATAATGAATGTGTAGTATATATATATATACTGGCAAACCCCTCCTTTTGCCCGCGCCGACGTCCACCACATGTCCGAACATCAAAAAACACTGTGTTTTGTCGGACAAAATGCACATGTCCATGATCATGGCTTTCATCTTGCAACACACAGCTTAGCTGCTAAGCTAGCAACCTGTGCGTTGAATGTTACAACACCATCATCATCATCATCGTCATCATCATCATCTTCTTCATCATCTTCATCTTCATCTTCATCTTGACGATTCCCTTGAATATAAAGTTTAATGGAGGTGGGGATATAATGATTCCCTAGAAACTCTATTGAAACATCTTGAAGATTCCCTTCAACACGCCAGCCAATATCCCTCTTCAATGTATTCGGAAACCGTGAATAAATTTGTGGGCGAAAGGGGGGGTTTGCGCGCATATATACACGCAATTCCTGTGGCTTGTCCGTAGTTGAAACTGTTTAAGGAATTTGAAAGGATAATAAGGATGGCGTAGTTGTTGAGATCATGGGCAACCTCCAGGCATTTGCGGTATATATGTATATACATACACATAAGCCAGCCTGAACACACCACCAAAAGGAGCCTACCTCACCATGGTTATCCCAATGTCTCCCACTATTTTCGCGGATTGCAAGCCAGTGGCCAAGCAGAGTTGGTAACTTCGGGGATCATCAAGACATTCCAGCAATGCATCAGTCCGTCAAACATGGTTTCACATGGCTTTCCAGTTCAGCAGAGTAGTCCCTTCACCCAAATATGATTTTGGCTCCCAAAGCGAAGCCTGGTGAAACGTACTGGAGGATTTCACCCCTTTAGTGACCGATAGGTGCTTCACAAGCTATGAAGGTGGTTGTACTAAACCACTATCGGAGTCATCAGCATTCAACGAAAAGAGGCTCTGACTGGTGCCATGGAGAATCTCCTCAAAGCAGGCCAGCCCTGTGGACAACTTCATTTGTGGCCTCTAGTAGGCACACTACAAGTATGCACACTACAGCTGGTTGGAAAATGAAAAAAATAGGGAAAATAGTGAAAAATAGAAAAACATATGAAAAAATAGAAATTCATATGAAAAAATATAAAATAATAATTACAAATAAAAACAAATAAAAAATAATACCAAAAAATAGCAACAAATAAAAACACAAATAATATAATATTCTAAAATGTCAGAAAAGTAATCACTAAGAGATTGAAAAATCAAAACCCTTGGGTGTAATCTGAATGGCTGGAAGCTGGTGTTGTCCATCCAACACCCCTACTCCACCCCACAGTGACTCACACTTTTTTCTCCTCAGACTCTCAAGCGCTTGGATTTGGGTGGCAGTGAGGTGACATCATCCCTCAACATCTCAATCACATCAGCTTCTATATTTCCAGGAGTGAGGATTTCCCTCTCTGGCAAGCTGAGCCCAGGTCTATGCTTCAATTTCTCAGCCCATGTCTCCCATGCATACTTATGCACAACAGACAACTTGTCCTGCCAACTAGCAGGATCCTTGGAATCAAAACACCTGCTCCTACTGCCAACTTCAACACCAGTGTTTGGTGAAGCAGTCCATCTATGATCATTACCTGGGCAATGGGCACAGAAAAGATGCAAGTGTAAAAAAAAACATGTTGGAAATACCAAACCTACTTGATTGGTACTAGTTGGTAGGTGTTGATACTGATAAAACCAGGTGTAAACAACCATAAGGGTGTTACCATTGTTTTGGCCTACAATCAAAGGATCCCTGCTGTGAAAAAGGTGGCTGAATCCACAAATGAATGATAATGAATGTTTCCTGTAATGGGTGCAACCCATAAACAACCAAATTTGATTAATATCATAATCATGGAAAACACCAATGGCTTGGGGACCCCATATGTTAGAAAACTTCTAAATGATCAGCACACACATGTTGTGGCATAGAAACTGATGGAATCCACTGCCCAATTGGCACCAGCCAGAATCATCATCAAAATTAAGGGCAGCATCATTCACATTAATCAATTGAGCCAGTAAAATACAATTATCTTACCTCATTACACCAATTGTTTGGTAAGTTTCCTTACTATGGTTTATCATAATCCCCCAGTGCATTAGGTAGTATGATGAGTCCCTATAGTAACACATCAACCTTTTTAATTGGTCAGTTGGGTTCATGAAGGGATAGCAAAAGGCAAACAACAAGACCACCACATGCTGGAAATACCAAACCTACTTGAGTGGTACTAGTTGGTAGGTGTTGATACTGATAAAACCAGGTGTAAACAACCATAAGGGTGTTACCATTGTTTTGGCCTACAATCAAAGGATCCCTGCTGTGAAAAAGGTGGCTGAATCCACAAATGAATGATAATGAATGTTTCCTGTAATGGGTGCAACCCATAAACAACCAAATTTGATTAATATCATAATCATGGAAAACACCAATGGCTTGGGGACCCCATATGTTAGAAAACTTCTAAATGATCAGCACACACATGTTGTGGCATAGAAACTGATGGAATCCACTGCCCAATTGGCACCAGCCAGAATCATCATCAAAATTAAGGGCAGCATCATTCACATTAATCAATTGAGCCAGTAAAATACAATTATCTTACCTCATTACACCAATTGTTTGGTAAGTTTCCTTACTATGGTTTATCATAATCCCCCAGTGCATTAGGTAGTATGATGAGTCCCTGAAGTAACACATCAACCTTTTTAATTGGTCAGTTGGGTTCATGAAGGGATAGCAAAAGGCAAACAACAAGACCACCAACCATGCAGCTAGGAAGCTGTTGAGTCTGATAGTGATCCCAGGAGGTGATATCGATGCCAGAATTGCAGGAGAAGAATATATCCTTGGTCCTCTGGATCCAGGTACCTTAGTTTTTGCAGGAACTGTGTCAGCTGAAGGGCCTTCCATGCTACCACTAGCAACAGGAGGTGGCTCAGCTAGCTCAGTGTCAGCTGAAGGGTGATCCCCACTACCACTAGCAACAGGAGCTGGCTCAGCTGGTTGTGGCTCAATTTCTTCAAGCTGGGCACCAGATCCTACAACAGGAGCATCAGGTAATGGCTTTGGCTCAAGTGCTGAACCCCTACCACCAGCATCATGCAGTGAACCAGGTGGCTGGGCATCAGGGGCTACCTCAACTGCTGAATCCTTACCAAGTGCTGAACCATCACTAGACAATGGACCAGCTGAACCCCTGACACCAGCATTAGGCAGTGGGTCAGGTGGCTGGGCATCAGGGGCTGCCTCAAATGCTGAATCCTTACCAAGTGCTAAACCATCACTAGGCAATGGGCCAGGTGAACCCCTGATACCAGCATTAGGCAGTGAGTCAGGTGGCTGGGCATCAGGGGCTGCATCAAATTCTGAATCCTTACCAAGTGCTAAACCATCACTAGGCAATGGGCCAGGTGAACCCCTGATACCAGCATTAGGCAGTGAGTCAGGTGGCTGGGCATCAGGGGCTGCATCAAATTCTGAATCCTTACCAAGTGCTAAACCATCACTAGGCAATGGGCCAGGTGAACCCCTGATACCAGCATTAGGCAGTGAGTCAGGTGGCTGTGCATCAGGGGCTGCATCAAATTCTGAATCCTTACCAAATGCTGAATCCTTACCACTTGCTGAATCCTTACCATCACTCGACAATGAATCAGGTGAACCCCTGATACCAGCATTAGGCAGTGAGTCAGGTGGCTGGGCATCAGGGGCTGCCTCAAATGCTGAATCCTTACCAAATGCTGAATCTTCACCATCACTAGACAAAGAATCGGGTGAATCCCTGATACCAGCATTAGGCAATGAGTCAGGTGGCTGGGAACCAGGGGCTGCCTCAAATGCTGAATCCTTACCATCATTAGGCAGTGAATCAGGTGGCTGGGCATCAGAAGCTACAACAGGAGCAACAGGTAATGGCTTTGGCTCAAGTGCTGATCCACCAATATTTGGCTGAACTGCTGGACCCTCACCACTAGCACTAGCAACATCAGGTACATCACAAACCACTGCAGCTGGTGCTGCAATTCCTGGGGTGGTATTGGCTGGGGGTGCTGGTGCTGCAGGCACTTCAAATTCTTCACATGCTTTCTCTCCACTGGCTGCTTGAAATTCAGGCATGTCATTGGCAAGGTCTGGAGTGCCACCATCAGCTGGCTCAGGCTGTGGGTTATTAGTGGGGGATGCAGGAGGTGTTTCTAGCAATAAATTTAGGTCCACATCATCTGGTGTGGTTGGATTCTCTTCTGGTGCAGGTGGCATTGCTGGAGGGTCTGAAAAGGCTGCTCTGATCTCTTCTTCTGTTGGGGCTTCTTGGCTAACCTCTGCCTTTACTGCTGGAGGGTCTGAAAAGGCTGCTCTGATCTCTTCTTCTGTTGGGGCTTCTTGGCTGGCCTCTGCCTTTCTTTTTTTGGAACCTTTGCCTCTGCCTCTGCCTTTCCTTCCAGAGGGTGTGTCTTCAATGGCAGGTGTGCCACCATCTTCAGGAGGGTTGCCTTTGGACCTGCCTTTGCCTCTACCTCTTCCCTTCCCCCTGCCTCGACCCCTACCTCTTTTTGGTTCTAAAGTGATGTGGCCCTCAGGTACCTTTGGCTTTTGAAGCCTTCTCCTTTTGAGTTTTGCCCTCTCCTGCTTCACATCTGGGTCATTCCTGTTTATATCATCTTCTTCAATCATGCCAAGGAGCTCTGAAGGACGAGGAAACCTGCTGTGTATATATGTATATATATATACACTATAGCTATATAATATATACATCAATATCATGGGTCAATCTTAAATCCAACATTCCAATTTCACGGAATTTCATGGTCACCATTTCATTGCACATCGTTGCCATTTTTTCGTAACCGCAGGGCTATCGAGTGAAGCTGCAGAGGGCCCTGCGGCCAAGGTGCCCCGGGCCGAGCCCTGGAGCATCATTCCCAATGATTCACCTCCAAAATTGGATGTTTATTGTTGGCTTTGCCGGATTGCTGACCCTTTGACCACGTTTGACCAGTTGTTTGCAAGGGACTCGAACATGGGGATGGGATGCTGAGTGATATCAGCCAGATCTGGCGATGATGTGAGGCTCAAGATCATTTGAGCGGCAGATTGAATGGTTTGGGTATGGGTCAAAGTCATAGTTCTCCCGAACACGGTTGATTTATGTTGATTTCAGATGACCCAAAACAAGTACGCCGCAGAAATGGATCAAATATGATGAAATTCGGATCCTCTAAGGGTTTCACATCCTGATCACCATGATCACCTGCACCGCGTCAGGCCGCAAGTGCTTTGTTGGGAAGCACTCCCATCCGTCCTCGGGGCCGTCGGGGGGCCGAAGAAAAAGTGCAACCCCCATTGAAAATGGACCTGTGGAAACAGGTTGCTTAGTCACCTTAGTCCATTGGATTTGGCTATACGTAACTTTTCCAGGTATCAAATCATCAAATCCATTTTAAAACATCCTGGAAACTTTAAACCAGAAGTTCTCCTTGAAGGTCTCTTGTATCGTTTGACCCTTTGACCCTTTGCACTCTCTCCAGTTCTTGGGTTGCTGTGTGGTAGGTCAAACACAGAGCTTGCAGCGGCAGCTGCATCAGAATCAGCTGGAGCGGTTTGGGAGCACAGCTGTGGACTACTGTGGGATGGATGTTGCGAAGCATCTGGTATTTAGCTACCCAGCTACCCATACTATCCGCATTGTTTTGATTGTTTTTGCATAAAAACCAACCCATCAAGATTTATTCAATTTTGGCATTCATACCAGTATTATTTTTCGTGCGAATGATGCGGGGCATCCATTGCGTGTGGACATTGCATGGTGCTGCGTTGCTTAAACAGCAAAACCGGTTTGTTTCAACAATGATGCTTTCAGGCTCTGAATTGCGTGTGATGTTAGTGTACATGCAACAATTTGGAGCCCAGCTCAAGCAAGCTAAAATGGCATTTGGAAAATCACAACATCACGGCAGATCATCTGGTAGAACATGGGGATTTCCAATTGCTGTTGATTGCTGGAGATACAGAGCACGTGCTGTGTATCAATGATTTTCCCGTCAAAAACTAAGGATGTTCCAGTTTTAGATACTGAACAGACGCGTAGAGCTTTGTGCATTTGTATGCATTTGTGTTGTCCGTTCTCAGTAATGTGGTAAACCCGAATTTCCCTAAATCACCATAGATGGATGCTATAAACCATGAGCAAATAAAAGGTCCCATGGCGCACCGAGGCGAAGAATTACATCACCTGTTCGCGTGTGGACACCTGGGAGAACTGCGAAAAACTCAGGGCTCCAATATGGTTTCAGCGTCTAGCTTCAGTACACCATAACATCCATGGCGTATTCAAACTACATGACTGACAGTAAATAAGTAAGCACTGCGGGATGATTTCAGGTCGCCGAGAAGTCAACCCTACTTTTCTTGGGCATCGGAAACATGGGTGTGGGTCAACCTGAAAACCCACGGGATGGGAGTTTTGAACAATTAGTTTTGAGCTGTTTCTAGCATTAAGAAGTATCACATTCTTGATCACCATTTCAATCCATTGGTTAAGCCATTCCATGATATGATTGGTGCTAGTTTCATTACAATAAAACCATTATATATCCCATTATCCCGAGTTATATGGGACTTTAATCCCACGAACTATCCCATTGAATGGAATAAAGATATGTATTTCATTATTTCATTCATTATATCCCATTAATTAGATTCCATTAATTATACTGTAGATGATATATATATAATATCTAAATGATATGACATAATATTATTTAATACACTATCATAAATGATATAATATATTGTAATATAACATAACAAAACATAATGTAATATAATGAAAAATGATATGATGCAATATAATATGACACAATTTGATATGAGATAATATGATATACTATAGTATAATGAAACAAAACATAACATGATATGATATACTATGTTATAATATACTATGTATATAGTATGAAATACAATATTACATATTATGATATAATATCATTTAATATGATATGATACAATATAATACAATATGATATGATATAATACCACATCACACAATCTAATATTTACTACAATATAAAATAATATGAAATAACACGATATAATATGAAATAATAAGATATAGTATGAAATAATATGATTTAATATGAAATAATATGATATAATATGAAATGATATGAAATGAAATGATTTAATATGATACGATATAATATGATATAATATGAAATCATATGATATAATACAAAATTATACTATACTATATTATATTATATTATATTATATTATATTGTAGTGTGTTATTTTATATTATATTATATCATATTATATTATATTATATATTATATATTATATATTAAATATTATATATTCTATATTATATATATCATATTATACTATATTATATCATATCATATTATATTATATATTATACTATACTATATTATACTATATTGTATTATATTATATTATATTAATATTATATTATATTAATATTATATTATATTATATTGTATTATATTATATTATATATTATATATTATACATTATATATTATATATTACATATATATTTTATATTATATATATTATATCATATATCATATATTATATATTGTATATCATATATCATATATTATATATTATATTATATATCATATATCATATATTATATATTATATATTTATATTATATATTATACATTATATATTATATATGATATATTATATATGATACTATATATATTATATATGGTATATGATATATGATATATTATACATTATACATTATATATTATATATTATATATTATATATCATATATATTTATATTATATATCATATATCATATATTATATATTATATATTATATGTCATATATCATATATCATATATCCTATATTATATATTATATATTATATATTTACATTATATATTATATATGATATATTATATATGATATATTATATATGATATACTATATATACATATTATATATATGATATATGATATATGATATATTATACATTATACATTATATATTATATATTATATATTATATATTATATCTTATATATCATATATCATATATTTTATATTATATATCATATATCATATATTATATATTATATATTATATATTATATATTATATATCATATATCATATATCATATATTAAATATTATATATGATATATTATATATGATATATGATATATTATATATTATATATGATATATTATATATGATATTATATATATTATATATATGATATATGATATATGATATATGATATATTATACATTAAACATTATATATTACATATTGTATATTATATATCATATATCATATATTTTACATTATATATCATATATCATTTATATATCTTATATATTATATACCATATATCATATATTATATATTATATTATATTATATTATGTTATGTCATGTTATGTTATATTATATTATTATATTATATATATTATATTATATTATAATATATCATATTATATTATATTATGTTATGTTATGTTTTGTTATATTATATTATATTATACTATATTATATTATATTATATATACTATATTATATTATATTATATATATTATATTATATATTATATATTTTATATTATATTATATTATATTATGTATTATATTATATATTATGTTATATTATATTATATATTATATTATATTATATATTTTATTATATTATGTTATGTTATGTTATATTATATTATATTATATATATTATATTATTATATTATATTATATATTATATTATATTATATATTATATTAAAATATATATTATATTATATTATATTATATTATATTATTTTATATATTATATTATATTATATTATATATATTATATTATATTATATTATATTATATATTATATTATATATTATATTATATATTATAATATATTATATATTATATTAAATATTATATTATATATTACATTATATATATTATATTATATTAGATTATATTATGACATACATAGAGTATATATTCACCCATTTTGTTGCTTAAAACATCCTTCCCCAATGGAATTCAGGTCGTCACGTCGGTGCCTGCCGTGGCACCGGTGACTTCGAGAAGCGTCGCCGTCGCCACCGGGGTCGCCACCGGATGCCCGTCGGAATGGCGCGGTTCGCCACGGGGTAGGAACAACCTGGGAAATCCATAAGAGAAACCTGGGGAAATCGAGGGAATCCACAGTTTTTGTTGTTTTTGCCAAAGAAATCACAGGAAACCAATAGATGAAACCAATAGAATCTGGGAGGTCAATGATTTTGGAGCCTGAGATTTTTCTTAGATGGAGCTGGACACCACTGGTTGCGGTAGATACTTTGGCAGCTTGAGTAAAAAGCAGAGGGTACTGCCATCCTTTGATCCTGCATTCTATGGTTTTTATCCACTGAAGAAAAGCCTGGCTCGAGCTGATGGTTCCGGCCCTTAAGTGACCGGAGGTCTCTTGACCACCAAAAATTCACGTCGCTTGGTCCCAAGGTTGACAAGGTTGACTGTCAAAGTCCCACCGCCCTAAGAATAACACGCCAGAAACCTGGTTTAGTATTAGACATTAGATCTAGTATGATCATTGATTTTTGGGTGCCATATGGCACCATAAATTGGAATTCAATATTAAGGGATTGGAGTACTCCCCTTGCATAATTGGTCGGTTTCATCATCCTGACCTTCAACTCGGAAGTAGGTGGACGCAGAAAGATGACTACGGGTTGGGTTGAATGTAATCGCACAAAGTGGCAATATACGTATACACATATATATATACATCATACTATAACTACATATATCTACCATCTATATCTACATTTATATCTATATCTATATCCTTCTCCTATATCTATATCCTATATATACATACATACATCATACAATTGTATATAATTATATAATATACACCGGCCTCGAAACCTGATATTCTGAATGGAGATGCCGCCCTCCCTTGCTGGCGCATTGAAGCTACCAGATGGCATGTCACAGCTGACGAACTCAGAATGGACCATGGCTATGACGATTCACGTCTCTTTACTCTCCGGCACGTCTGCAAGTCTTCGAGTCTCCCGGGCCGCAGATCTTTTCCAATGGATGTGCAAGGCACTGGTTCTGATGGGGATATGATATGATGTATACTCACCTAAACTTAGTCGAATCTTGCTGCTTTACTGCTTCATACTGCTTCTTTCCCTATTTCCATTGCTCATTTGATCCATTCACTTGCATCCTCCTACATTCATTTCCCATTTTTCTGCTCATTTTCTGTGAGATTTCTCTCTCTTCCATGGGCATCCCAAGCTGTGTCACCCAGGTCTTTCCCTACTGGCGTCTGAGCGACCTGAAACGTGCTGCAGGGCGCGTCTTGTGCGTGAAAGTGGGGGGAGTTGACCACAGAGAAGGGCACCCTGCTGTGTGGGGACGGGACCAGTCTTGGAGAGGCTGGTTATGGTTGGGTCCAAAGATGTTTTTTTTTTTTTTTTCCGAGCTTGTCAGGGACATGCGTTATTTTTTTATTGAAATGGTTATTGTTAGTTACTACCATTATGATTATTTTAGTCTTCTTGGATTCTGTTTCATAGCCAGTTCTACAGTGCGCCTCTACTGAGCCATTGGCGCCACTCATGAGGTATTTGAACGTGTCGCGTGAAACCAGAGGTTTTTGCCACTAAAGTCAAGTGGGAGGGTTTTCTGGGGTCTCAACTTTATACTGGGGATGTCTTTTTTGTTGATCAAATGTCAATCCAACCCCCCCTTTTGTTGGTTAGCTTCCCACTCTTGGTTCGGAAGCCCAGGCGACATAATTTTGGCTCAAACTCACTAGTCATAAACTTAGTGCTACATTATATATATATATATATTACATAATTCTGCTAAAAATCACTAGAGACTCCGGTTCCCCCGGTTTTCAAATCTTTCGTTTCAAGCCCGGTTCACAGGTCGGCCTTGAGGACGGCGACATGTTGACTGCCACCGCCCGGCATGCGCGGGTCTACTCAAACTGGTCGTCTGGAGTGACCTGGTCAGACATAGATCAGAGATGGAGATGTTTTACAGTATCTTATATGGACGTTATATACAGTAATTTTACGGATCATATATATATATATGTATGTATGTATGTATGTATGTATGTATGTAAGTATGTATGTAATGTATGTATGTAATGTATGTATGTAATGTATGTAATGTATGTAATGTATGTGGAGTGTAGTGTAATGTAAGGTAGTGTAGTGTAATTTAGTGTAGTGGAGTGTAGTGGAGTGTAGTGGAGTGTAGTTGTAGTGGACTGTAGTGTAGTGGAGTGTAGTGAAGTGTAGTGGAAGGTAGTGTAGTGTAGTGTAATGTAGTGTAGTGTAGTGTAATTTAGTGTAGTGGAGTGTAGTGGAGTGTAGTTGTGTAGTTGCGTGGTTGTAGTTGTAGTGTAGTGTAGTGTAGTGTATGTAGTGTAGTGTAGTGGAAGGTAGTGTAGTGTAGTGTAATGTAGTGTAGTGGAGTGTAGTGTAATGTAGTGTAGTGTAATTTAGCGTAGTGGAGTGTAAAGTGGAGTGTAGTTGTAAGTTGTAGTGTAGTGGAGTGTAGGTGCAAATGTAGTTAAGTGTAGTGGAAGGTAGTGTAGTGAAGTGTAATGTAGTGTAGTGTAGTGTAGTGGAGTGTAGTGTAGTGTAATGTAGTGTAGTGTAGTGGAGTGTAGTGTAGTGTAATGTAGTGTAGCGAAGCGAAGCGAAGCGACATCTGAACCTCCAAAAGTGGTCCGAACCCCTGGTGTTTTTAACATTTTGACTTCGAAATGTGCTTCGCGCCACAACGCCGTGCACTTTTTCGACATCTCAACTTACAAAAGTGATCCGAGACCGCCAGTTTTTAACACTTTTGACTTCCAAATGTGCTTTGCGCCACAACGGCGTGCACTTTTTCGACATCTCAACTTCCAAAAGTGCTCCGAGACGCTCAGTTTTAAACACTTTTGAGTTCGAAATGTGCGTCACGCCACAACGCCGTGCACTTTTTCAACATCCCAACTTTTAAAAGTGCTCTGAGACCCTCAGTTTTTAACACATTTTAATTCCAAATGTGCGTCGCGCCACAACGCCGTGCACTTTTTCAACATCTCAACTTCCAAAAGTGCTCCGAGACCCTCAGTTTTTAACACTTTTGACTTCGAAATGTGCGTCGCGCCACTCCGAGACCCTCAGTTTTTAACACATTTTACTTCCAAATGTGCTTCGCGCCACAACGGCGTGCACTTTTTCGACATCTCAACTTCCAAAAGTGCTCCGAGACCCTCAGTTTTTAACGCTTTTTACTTCCAAATGTGCTTCGCGCCACAACGCCGTGCACTTTTTCGTCATCTCAATTCCAAAACTGCTCCGAGACCCTCAGTTTTTAACGCATTTTACTTCAAAATCTGCTTCGCACCACAACGGCGTGCACTTTTCCAACATCTCAACTTCCGAAAGTGCCCCGAGACCCTCAGTTTTTAACACTTTTTACTTCCAAATGTGCTTCGCGCAACAACGCCGTGCACTTTTTCAACATCTCAACTTCCAAAAGTGTTCCGGACCCCTCAGATTTTAACACATTTTACTTCCAAATCATCCAAATCTGCTTCGCGCCACAACGCCGTGCACTTTTTCAACATCTCAACTTCCAAAAGTGGTCCGACGCTGTACCTTTTCACTTCGAAATCGGCTTCGCGCCACAACGGCGTGCAACTTTTCATCTCTCATCTCCCCAGATGTCTCCGCACCCGCCGCTTTAGCGAGCCTACTTTTCAACCCTCCGGAGCCACAAAACCACGAAAAAAAACACTGTGTTTCGCGACTTTCCTACCTTTTCGCGCACCTGCATCTTCTTTCTTCTGATCTTTTCTCTTCTGACTCTTCTCCCTGCTGACTGCTTTTTCATCTCTCCATATTGTCGGAAGTTTGACTTCTAAACTTCCTTCGATAAACATCCCTTGAATCGATTCCAAGAATTGATGGTTTCAAACAGTGACTAAGCCATCGTTTTTATGGGGTTTACCAAATTGCAATGCGAGTTGCAAGAATGGGGGATATATATATATAATCCTCCTGGGAATTTAGCTTAAAAAGTTCAGGACATGATGTCTTTAAAAAACTGTATTTTTTAAGGGACATACCTGGCCGGCAAAAAAAAACAGTTCTATTTTTTTAAGGAAATCCTGTTGTTTGACGGTCTCCTATTCTTTAGGAGGCCTTCCTAGGAAGATTCTAGGAACTTGTTTTTTGGATTTGTTTGGTATGTTTGGGATTGTGTGTCAAATGCCTGCCGCTTCTGGAGATGCTCACAAACGTCAGAGTGAATGATAGTGAATGCATGTAAATGGCGGAAAGCCCTGCCCGAGGACTTCGACCCCAAAACGGGGAGGTACAACGAGGAAGACACAACGGGGAGACCCCAAGGGGAGACCCAAAGGGGGGAAAACACAACGGGAAAATGATGCAAAATGAGAAATGTCACTTTTATAAATTTAAAAAAATAATTTCTATCAATAAATTATGTCCACAATGAGGTTTAAAGCATTCAGTGGGTCATTCTCAAGGTATTGGAATGAAATTTTGAAAGTTTTTTTTTTGGGGGTCAAAATATGTTGAAAAATGAGATTTCTATCCATAAATTCAATCCACAATGAGGTTTAAAACATTCAGTGGGTCATTCTCAAGGTATTGGAATGAAAATTCGAAAGTTTTTTTTGGTCGATTTTTTTTTGTCAAAATATGTTGAAAAATGAAATTTCTATCCAAAATCTTAAAAATATTCAGAACATTTCATGCTTGACTTCAACTTGGGTATCCAATTCTTTAAAGGGGCACCCCTTGGTGTGCAACTTGGGTCTCCAATTTTTTAAAGGGACATACCTGGCTACTGTGTTGCAATCTTGGTTCATTGGGGTTAGATTCTTTAAGGCTGAAATTTGCCCTGGTTCGCATTCTTTAAGAGGCTACCAGTGGTCCCTTAAAGATTCAGGGGTCAGGGTCGGAGGCCGAATTGCAAGGGGGATGTATATTTATATATACTTCCCCTGGGATTTAGCTGTACAAAATCAGGGGGGTTGAGCTCCAAAAACAGGTTCATTTTATACAGGGGTTTCCCTCTGTGGTTGGGCTCCACTGGGGAGGGTTGTGATTCTATACAGGTCTCAGGGTGTCAAACTCGAGCTTGGAGGTCTACGTTTTATACTAGGGCTAGCTTGGTGCATATGGTGTTGGGGGTTCTTATTTTATATTGATTTCCATTTTATGCTAGACTCGAGGCAAGGCTTGGGGTTCAATCTTTGTACTATGCTAAAATACACCCTAAAATCAAGCCCTTGTTCCTATTTTTCCACTGTGAGGCTTGGGGGTCTTGATTTTACACAGATGTATGCATATATAGAATATTATAGAATTATATATAATATTTTAATATATTTTATTTTAATCTTTTGGATTTTTTTGGAATCTTATGGATTCTTATGGAATTTGCTGGATTTTTATTCAAAGAAAATCATAGAACAACGCATTAAAAAAAACAACAAAAAAACACTTAAGAACAAACACTGACAGGGTCCTGTATACAATTGGGGTCTTGTGCAAAACAATATGATCAGGCAACCATTTGGTAATACTTGGTATCATTATATAATCAGGGACTGTACCCCCCCCAAAGTCACTAGCTCGAACCTCACCGACCCTAATTTTTGAGCTATAAAATCAGGGACTGCACCCCTCAAAAAACAAGATCAGGCTGTACAGACTTTGGGGTCTCAACTACATTGTCAGACAGAAGTGGGTTGGTTTTACTTAAATTTGCTTAAATTTCTGATGTTTAAGCTTGGGGCTCTTGATTCTGCAGCCAACCCAGCCTACCCAATGTCGAATGTAGACCCTTTTTTTACTTAAAATTTCACACAAACTGAACCTTGGAGGCCTCGATTTTGTACAGTTGAGTTCTTCTTGGGGGTCCTGATTATATATAGAAAAATACATTTTTTTCTTGGGGGTCCTGATTTTGTACCTATAGAATCGGACACCTCAACCCTTTAGGTGAATTCCCAAGAGGATTATATATATATACATACATCTATGTTTGGCTGGCTGCTGTCTTTTCAGACCTTTATGATTCAAATCCTGCAATCGAATCATATCTTTGGGATGGGTCCCACCAACCAGGTACGCAATGTTTTTCTTTGGACCAGCAATGATGCGGATTTGAATCCATTCTTCGTTAGAATCAGTGAACCTCATAGATGTCCAACTCCCCGCCTTCCATGACATCACAATTTTCTCCCCAGTATCGCCATCAAATCCCCAGAAAATCATCAGAAAAATCAACATGAAATCCCCAGAAATCCATCTTAAATGCCTATATGGAGGTTTCTGAACATGGGGGTACCCCCAAATCTAGGATTTTCCATCATAAACCATCCATTTTTGGGTACCTCCATTTCAAGAACCCCCGGCCATCTCGCTTTCAATCATCATTGCCAGGTCTTCGCCCTGGTCCGCAGTGATGGTCGCTTAGTCACTTGGGGTCACCCTGCCTACGGCGGTGGCCTGGGACGCAGCGCGCATGGCGAGGCGCCGTGGAACGTGGCCGCGGTGACGGTGGGCTGCCGCGCGCTGGCTGCGCTGCTGGCGGATGGCCGGGTGCAGACCTTTGGGGACGCCGAGTGGGGCGGAGATGCTGGGATTTCAACCGTTTTCCCATGGGGATGGGCTTTAAACCTATGATTTTCATGGTTTTTCCATAATTAAATTGGTGGTTTTTAAACATGGTAAAACCTAGGCAGGATTTTCTATAAATTTGAGGGGATGGAGATCCATAAAAATATGCATAAACTCGAGCCAAAACATGATGTGAATAGAAGGGTGGGATGGGTTTTGATCCGTACACACATGGCAGTTTTATTCGATGATCTCCGATTTTATATAGTGAATGAATAACTCTCAATTTCAACGAATGAAATCCACACTGTTTTTGAAACTCATCACCACGCACATTTTGCGCGTTAAGAATCCACAGAATTACACACTCTTGCCGGTTCATTTCATACGCAAAGCCGGTAAAACATACACCACTTGTCAATTTCCACAGCTGTAGATGTTCCCTTGATTTTCACATCTTGGATTCAAAATTCTCCTCAAAATCCCTATCCCTATCCCCCTGTTGGAGCAAAATCTGGGGATGGGATCTACCACCGACGGTTTCGAGGACTGCAGCGAAGTGCAGGATCAACTGCTGGAGGTCGTGGCGGTGCACAACGCGGGTGGCGCCTTTGCAGCGCGCAAGGCGAATGGCACAGTGGTGGCCTGGGGCGCCCCGGCGAAATGGCCACAAGACCGGCGGAAAGCACAAGACTTGGCATTTTTTATGCCTGAAACATGAAGATATGATGGAAAACTAGAAACTCACATGGAGGGTCAGGTACTTAGTATTACTTAGTTACTAGATTTGAAAACAGATGTACAATGTAATCATGAAACATGGAGGATTTAATCCACACATGAGGATTAAAGCCAGGAAAAACTATAGGAAAAACTAGGCAGCTAAAGTTGGGTTTTAAGCCGCAAGACATGAGAAGGATACTGAACTTTTTGGGAAAGGTGGCTCCAGCTGGCTACCAATCGTATATCTTGATGAGTTTTCCATGTTTTCTTGTGGGGGGGTAAGAAGTGGTTCTAGGTGACGAAGTTTGGGATAAGTTTTGAACCTGGAGGTTGACCTTGCTCGACCCAAATGGGCTGAAGTTGCCCCAAACCGGATTTTTGTTGGGTGCTCAATCAATTCAATCTCCTGATGTTTCCATTTGCTGGGTTCATTACCCATCTTTACAGTCTAAATCCCGTGATTTTGTGGTTCAATCTTCCACTTGTCTCAATTCAACTAGTAAATTCCCCATCTTGTTCTGGCTTCACAATTTTCATGGCTCCCAAACTTTTTGGGTAAAAACCCCATCATTTCAACATCTTGTCTCCCCATTTCCAAAACCAGGGGGCACAAGCGCCGCAAGGACAGCCGGGCCACGGTGGCCGCTGTGACGGACTGCACGACGTCGTGGAGCTGGTCTCAAACCACATGGCCTTCGCGGCCATCGTGGCAGGGGCGTCCTGCCGGGTGGTGACCTGGGGAAATGCGGAGTGTGGAGGTGTCACCAGTGAAAGCTTGAGGGATCCTTAGGCTGGACAACTACTGTACATATCTATCACTACCTTTTTCTTAGTCTTAGAAGATTTGGAGCCTATCTTTTTGTGGAAGAACGTGATAGCACGATCCATACCACGAAAAGCTATGGCTTGTGAAGTATCAGTCCCTCACGACGACATTTCTGCATGGGCGTCTTGGCGAAGCCCAGGATCGATTGAAAGACGTGGACAAAGTTGAAGCGTCCAGCCGGGCCTTTGCTGCCATTCTGCGAGACGAAACTGTCGTCGCCTGGGGTGATGCTGAGTGGGGTGGCCACTTGCTTCCGCTTGGAATTTTGTGGTAATTTGTGTTATTTGATATTTGGATGATATTTGGGGAGAGATTGGTTAAAACCTGTGGTACCATATTTGGGGGGAGCGAACAGCTAGGGTTTTGACCCGTAGCCATTTTACTTTTTCATTTTTAGGTCAGGTTCTTTCAATTTCTTCCCCAAAAATAAAATTAGATTGTGTCATGAATGGAATTATCATATAATACAAAAATGGGCATGTACAAATAGCTGGCCGGGAAGATCGAGTCTATAGGTTTAGATTTTAGATGTCCATTTATTTTTGCACAACCCCAAAGTGTATTTTCTACCCATCATTTCCGAACTGTTCTGTCCTACTGAACCATGGAGTTTCCACTCCTGAAACGGACCATGTTCTCCCAAGATCCACTAATGAGAAGCTTTATCTTGAGGTAGAGGCGTATGCAAAAGCAATGAATCTTGGGAGAACCAATGCTCCAAGAAGCGGTTAGGAAGGTTTTTTCGCTTTTTCAGCTTTCTATTTGCCCAGTTGAGGAGATAGCAGTGCTGTTCAGGACTGGGCGCCAAGCATGGGAGACCAGCGAAGCTACATAGATTAAAGCAATCAAAAAGCATCGCTCACGACGGCAAATTCAACATATGTCGAGTCTTTTAACATTTTCTATCTACAGCTTTAGGCCGCTTCTTCGGCACAATTCGTGTACGATGTCTTTGCCATGGCAACCTCAGCAACAAAAGCTCATCATTTGGAATAGGAATATCATCTGCAGCCTGGGTACTTTTCATACTTTCGGGCAAGCTCTGACCTATATGGGGTTTACCTGGTTGGCAAGGTGAGCAATGGTCATAGCAAGTGAGTCATACCCCAGAATCAGGCAATGGATTGGCAGGGAGAATCACCAAATTTCCAATGATTTTACCATGATTTTTTTTGGGGGTTTCCGGGTTGGTGAATTTCCCATTAAAAATGGTGGATCTGTCCATAGTTTTTTGTAAACGTTTACCAGAGGGTAAATCCAATCTGAAATCCCATTAGATCCCATTAAACCACCATAAAATCCCATTAAACCAACATAAAATCCACTATAAATGGCCATTTTCAATAGCTATGTCAAATTACCAGAGGGTAAACCAATCCATTGAAACAGGGACCGAGGGATTCACCGCCAGGCGGAGCTCCGGCAGGTGCACCGCGTCGTGCCCGGCCAGGGCTTCGTGGCGCTCAAGCGCGACGGCTCGCTGGTGGCCTGGGGAGGCACGGCGGCGAAGCACGACCTGACGGAGCTGACGGAGGTGGGCTGGAAAAAGGTCAGGAAATGTGGATAAATCATGATAAATGATGATAAATCATGATAAATGATGATAAATGATGATAAATCATGATAAATGATGATAAATGATGATAAATGATGATAAATGTAGATAGATGTGCTATTTTTTGGGTGATCTCAGCTCCTTGGGTGTGGTATTTTGGAGGATTCTTGGGTATTGGAGAAAATGAAGCAGATCAAATTTGGATTGAGCGGCAAGAATAGGGATATGTGGAATTTATGGATATATAATATATATAAACGATATATGCCAAACATGATTGTTGGTTGATGATAAAAACTTGTCTCATACAACTGTGGTAGAGAGAAGAGCATTAAGCATCACCGATGACTTACCAGAAATGGAACACTGCGTTTGCCGCATGATATCCAACTTAGATAGAAAGAAAGCTTGATGAACCGAGTTTTCGGAACGGTTGAGGTTGAGATCCACTTGTGGGGCCTGTTGTAGCTTGTGCTGGTATGTCGGATTCCTGAGCGAGTCAAATTCACTCCCACGTTCAAACACGACCCATACCCCCCAGACATGTTCCGAACATTTTAGGTTACACACTAAACAAACCTACAAATCCAAACGTACACAACCCACAAAATCACATTTGGGGATGTGTCAAAACCTGTGCATATATATTTTGTGATATATATATATAACATAACATAACTAACTAAGTAACTAAATAATAAATGAATAAATAAATAAATAAACATGCATGATAATTACTATATTTGGGGGGATGAACATCGATAAATCCCAGCTTTTTGGTACTGCAAGGTGCACCAGGTGGTGCCCAGCGGCCGGGCCTTCACAGCGCTTCGGTGCGATGGGTCGCTGCGCTGCTGGGGCGACGCGGCCTGGGGCGGCCGCCACGGCGAGCCGTTGCTGAGGGCGGTGCGGTGGGTGGTGGGCACCAGCTGTGCATTCGCAGCGGTGCTGGAGGATGACGTGGTGACCTGGGGTGATCCGAAACGAGGCGATGGTGGATGAATTGGGGGAGATGAATTGGAAGGGTGGATGGTGAAGGGGTGAAAGAGGCCACTCTGATTTGAGAGTTTCATTCTTTGGGTCTTTTGTATGCGGCTTGCGGTAGGCGCAGTCTAGTTGTGCCAATCAGTGCAAATCACCAGAACCGGCCCATTTCCGCTTTAACAAAACGGTATTTCCTTCTATTCATGCTTACCATTCTCCCTGAGATGAAAGCTATGTCGCAGATTTTACGTAGTCCACCCCCTAACAAGTTTGGACCACCCACATGTATGCATCCTCAATTTTTTTCCTGGGGTCAATGTGGTGCCCCCCAGGGTTTGTCCGTCGCTTTGTAAACTCCATCAACTAGCTCAAACCCTATAACTATAGTAAAAACTTGAGGTATTGCATTTATAACAGGTTCTAAACCAACTAGTTAACTACTTCAATATATCCACCACAAAGAAGCCTATACTGCCTATACTTGTAACATCTTATAACCCTATATCTACTTATATTACTACTTTATCTTATTTATCAACTCGACGATTCGCACCGCTGGTTCCAGGCGGCGACAGCACGGCCGTGCGACCCCTGCTGCGCGGCGCAGCGCTGCAGGCGTTGGTCGCCAGCAGCGGCGCCTTTGCAGCGCTGACGGCGCAGGGGGTGGTGATCACCTGGGGTGAGGCGGAGGCCGGTGGTGACAGCAGCGCCGTGCAGGTGCCACTTGGGACGGGGTTCTTGTTGATGGAAAGGCGGAAACGAGTCATGGAGTTTTCTGTTAACGCATTATTTATGAATGTGAACATCTGTAACTGCTCAGTAATTCCCTCAACATAACCCGACTTTGTCGTGGTAAACCTCGATTTTGTGGTTCAATCCCGAATGCTCCGGTGATCAGGACGACTTGCACGACGTGGTGGAGATCTTCGCAACAGGCTCTGCGTTTGCCGCGATGCGGCTGGATGGTTCCATTGTCACCTGGGGGCACAGCCACTGGGGCGGAGACAGCAGCGCTGTGTGCGATCTGCTCAGGCCCCAAAACAGAGCGCGAAGCCGCGTGGGAAGATGCAAAAATGGAAGAATTGGAGTTGATGAAAAAATGGGGTTTAAGATATCATCAACATCAATAACAACACATATATCATAACAATACAACACAGTTTATATGGCCCAAAGGGGCAACACAGAGGGTTTGTCATGAGGAACTGATGAACATGAAAAAATCATAGGGCTCAACCAACAGAGGATTTCCATGTCTGGGATGATGGTTTTCAGTGACCAATGATTTTTCAAGGGGTTACACCCATCGGATAAGATCGGATGAGTGATGCTTTACTTTTGGATTCTGGGAGCCACAGACGTTTTGCTCATTTTGACTATGGTATGATTAAATGATCCATTCTTGGGAACCCAATTACGACCCCATGCCTACATGGGTAGCAGGAGTCAAACAGATCCTTTCTCATCAGGGAATGATACATGTCTTCATCAGGTCAGGACATAATTTGAACATTTTTGAGGATAAAACAAATGGACTTTTAGGCTATTTTTCCAGCAGCACTTTGGATATTTTTGGACCTGACATGCTGAGACTGCTGAGGACAGACCTATATCCGAGGGCGACACGTTCCAGCACATGAGGCAGTGGTGGTGATTCAACTGTTGCTGTGGCGGATCGCTGGGAAATCACCATTTTATGGCACATTGTATTGCATGGATATTTCGTAGCACCTAGTTTCTGTCCCATTTTCTAGTTTCAGGAACCGTTCTAGTATGATCAGTGTGGCTTTCGTCATGAACGTGAAGATATGGACATTTTATGAAAATTTGACATGGAGCGCTGGCTTTGCACATGCAGCCTGTAAGTGCACCAAGTGGCTGCGCCCATACGGTGTAACTGCTGTGCTGATTCTCTGCAATATCACTTTCCACTTCATAGAAGTTCGAGATCTTGACTTTGTACATGATTTCTTCAGGGAATACCATATAAAAAGTGCAGACTCATGATGATTCCTTCCAGAATTCCCGCCACAACGGTGGTACTCTCAGTAGAGGAACACCACCTAAAACCTCTCAAAACCTGGTCGATCTCATGTTTTTTTAAACTCCCATCTTTTGTGCTAAGTCAAGTGACTTACCATCGACTTGCCATCCATTTACCCTTTCGCAATTTGATAGCCGAGGACAATTGCCCTTTCGTAGATGATCTACCAAGATATTTCTCGTTATTTCCATGGCCATTTTGGCAAACTGTGAGTCATTACCAGACCACAGTCCTCGGAATTTACATCAATCCTTGGGGAATCCCAGGTCCCAAAATGTCCCAAAATTCTTTCTGATTTTTAAACACCAACGATTGTAAAACCAGAACCATCCAATGTTCGAAAAGCAATAGAACCACCATACCCAACTTCACTATTTCTGCAGGTGGTATAATATAAACTAGTCACATCAACAAGTTTTTTTTTCCCGAGAGCGCCTGCGAAGGGTTCTTCGTAAAAAAGCAGCCGTTGTAATACATCTTCACACCTTCACATCTGCTGATCTACATCTTCACACATTCACATCTGCTGATCTACATCTTCACACCCTCACATCTGCTGATCTACATCTTCACACATTCACATCTGCTGATCTACATCTTCACACCCTCACATCTGCTGATCTACATCTTCACACCCTCACATCTGCTGATCTACATCTTCACACCCTCACACCTGCAGATCTACATCTTCACACCCTCACATCTGCAGATCTACATCTTCACACCTTCACATCTGAAGATCTCCTCTCGCTCTTCTTTCTATCGCTCTCTTAAGGCGGGGGCGGTGCCGCCGGAGCGCCACGAAACGCAACCCTTTCGCACGAAATGGACATTGGACGTCAAAAACTGAGGTAAAATGGCAATTTTGAGGTGTCACGGACAACCCTTACACGCGAAATGGAGGTTCAACGTCAAAAACTGAGGTAAAATTGCGATGTTACTTGGCCCATCGCAACCCTTTCGCACGAAATGGACGTTGAACGTCAAAAACTGAAGGAAAATTGCGATTTCACGGGTCCGGTCTCTGTGCGTGAAAGTGTTTGTGTGTAAAAGCTTCTGTGTGTGAAAGTGTTTGTGTGTAAAAGCCTCTGTGTGTAAAAGCTTCTGTGTGTAAAAGCTTCTGTGTTTAAAAGCTTCTGTGTGTAAAAGTGTCTGTGTGTAAAATGGTCTGTGTATAAAAGGGTCTGTATGTAAAAAGCGTCTGTGTGTAAAAGCGTCTGTGTGTAAAGGAGTCTGTGTGTAAAAGCCTCTGTGTGTAAAAGCTTCTGTGTGTAAAAGTGTCTGCGTGTAAAAGCGTCTGTGTGTAAAGGAGTCTGTGTGTAAAAGCTTCTGTGTGTAAAAGCTTCTGTGTTTAAAAGCTTCTGTGTGGAAAAGTGTCTATGTGTAAAATGGTCTGTGTGTAAAAGTGTCTGTGTGTAAAAGCGTCTGTGTGTAAAGGAGTCTGTGTGTAAAAGCGTCTGTGTGTAAAGGAGTCTGTGTGTAAAAGCCTCTGTGTGTAAAAGCTTCTGTGTGTAAAAGCTTCTGTGTTTAAAAGCTTCTGTGTGTAAAAGTGTCTGTGTGTAAAATGGTCTGTGTGTAAAAGCGGTAAAAGTGTCTGTGTGTAAAAGCGTCTGTGTGTAAAGGAGTCTGTGTGTAAAAGTGTCTGTGTGTAAAAGCGTCTGTGTGTAAAGGAGTCTGTGTGTAAAAGCTTCTGTGTGTAAAAGCTTCTGTGTTTAAAAGCTTCTGTGTATGAAAGTGTCTGTGTGCAAAATTGGTCTGTGTGTAAAAGTGTCTGTGTGTAAAAGCGTCTGTGTGTAAAGGAGTCTGTGTGTAAGAGTGTCTGTGTGTAAAAGCGTCTGTGTGTAAGGGAGTCTGTGTGTAAAAGCGTCTGTGTGTAAAAGCGTCTGTGTGCAAAAGCGTCTGTGTGTAAAAGCTTCTGTGTGTAAAAGCTTCTGTGTTTAAAAGCTTCTGTGTGTAAAAGTGTCTGTGTGTAAAACGGTCTGTGTGTAAAAGTGTCTGTGTGTAAAATGGTCTGCGTGTAAAAGCGTCTGTGTGTAAAAGTGTCTGTGTGTAAAGGAGTCTGTGTGTAAAAGCCTCTGTGTGTAAAAGCTTCTGTGTGTAAAAGCTTCTGTGTTTAAAAGCTTCTGTGTGTAAAAGTGTCCGTGTGTAAAAGCGTCTGTGTGTAAAAGTTTCTGTGCGTGTAAAAGCGTCTGTGTGTAAAAGTGTCTGTGTGTAAAAGCCTCTGTGTGTAAAAGCGTCTGTGTGTAAAAGCTTCTGTGTGTAAAAGCGTCTCTGTATAAAAGCGTCGCGTTTCTTCACATCCGAGGAATGATGGTACCGAGCTTTTTCGGCAATGTGTGTAGGAATTGCCATAGTAAAATGAGATAACACATGTCATTCGCAGACTCATGGTACCGAGCCTCCTGTGCACTTTTGTTGCTCACATTATATTTCTCCATGTTTTCTTTCTATCTCCCTTTCCTTCTCTCTCTCTCTCTATCTATCTATGTCTATGTCTCTTTGTGGTTGCAAGACACGTGTCATCTGATGCCCTTTACCAAGTATCCTCTTCTTAATCAATCTTACTTTTCACACCTTATCCCTCCATAGCTCATATAAAATTCACCAACCATTCACCGACTATCTTTTACGACTACCATCCCCAGAGCTGCTTGAAAAACATCTTTTTCGCTCTCGGGCCAACCGTCGTCTAGTTTTTTTTTTTCCTGGTGTATTATTACTATCATCTCACATTCGAAAAAAGGTATATACACCAATGAATAGCAATCTGGTGGTTCTGAGTGAGTCCCCTGCCGTATTGTACACCCAGTTCTTTGGGCTAATCATATTGCAATTTTCGAAAGCCGATGAAACCCAGCCAGGTGAACCCCAGCCTGGCGCAGTTGGACGCCCAACTGCGCCAGTCGCAGAACGACTTCTGGGGCCTCTGAGGCTGGTTCCATGATGCTTTAGGGGGGTTGATGGTGAAATTCTGAAATGCTGGTGAAATGTGGTGATTGGATAGCCAAACATGATGAAACATGGGTGACATGTCTAGAATTTCGAGTGGTAAATAGGTATTTCACAAGCAAAGTTGCGGATTTGAAGCAAAAAATCACATCGCAGCCATGGAACCACACATGGATCTGGAACAAAACAGTGCTTCATCCCATGGAATATTTTACTTGCATTGGCCATTTTCAGGGCCTTATACCATCCATTTTTGTTGCTCCAGTCCCTTGATATCAAGGCAGATCAAAACATCACACCTTGCGGGATGATAGGCACCTCATGATGTGAAGCTGCACTTGAGCCCCGCCAGGGCCGTCTGAGTGCAACACTTCCAGTGGTTGGACTGTGGTGGTTTCAGAATGGGACCCATGAATCTCAAGGGACCCCTGAAAAAGATAAGAGCCTGAAACGGGGCATTTTGAATCCTGCTTCTGAGACTCTGTTGTTTTCCCACCGGTGTCTCGCTTCTTGACACCTGAGAGTTGGTTGAGGCTGTAGTTTCAGAGGTGCCACTGCTATCACTGCACATCGGCCACATGGGCCCACGCAGGCACGCAGTGGAACCACTTATTTCCTTAGGAAAACATGCGCCAGACGTGACTTGGTTTCGCCCGGGACGAACGGTCCTTGACTACTGTCGGGGCACAACCTGCATCGTACATCACTTTCGCTTGGAAAACACGAAGTTCGAGCTGTGACGGGCACAGAAAGTCATAGAAATGCCATGAATTTTTGCAGTTTTTACTGCCCTGAAGTGAAACCTGTAGCAACTCTTGGTAAACACCGAAGTTGCCGCCGTCCTCCATGCTGGATCAAGGCAGGAAAAACAGATGGATCAACGACCCATAGCAATTTGGTTCACATATGGCAGGCACAGCGCCAAAATAAATGCGATCACAGTTTGCCCACCAACCGAACATTTGGCGCTGTAGAAGTCTCAGTTGGTGCTTTTTAGGAGCATGGCGGCCTTTCTTGCAGCACCGCAGGCAGGTCCACCCCGGACATCCACTTCCTCAACCGATGCTCATCCCCAGGTCGCGCATAGCTGAAATCCTCTAAGGCCCAGAACTGGATGAATTAGATGGAGAAAGTGAAGACCCCTTAGATAAAAGGCATTACATTATATATATATATATATTTTACACGTATGTATATATATATATCATATTATACACGTATGTATATATATATATTATTATACACGCATGTATATATATATATATATTATATTATACACGTATGTATATATATATATATATATTATATTACACACGTATGTATATATATATTATATTATACACGTATGTATATATATATATATGTATGTATGTATGTAATGTATGTATGTATGTATGTAATGTAATGTAATGTAATGTAATGTAATGCAATGTAATGTAATGTAATGGTATGTATGTATGCATGTATGCATGTATGTATGTATGTAATGTATGTATGTATGTATGTATGTATGTATATATGTATATAATGTATGTATGTATTGTATTGTATTGTAATGTAATGTAATGTAATGTAATGTAATGTATGTATGTATGTATATATATATATGTATGTATGTATCAGTGTATATATACATATATATATATACATGTAATATATTTATATATCTTATGTATATATATACATATATGTATATATATATACATAATAAATATACAGATTATATATATATATATATATTACATGTACATATATATATGGATGCAGGAATGCAACAACGTGGCCTTGGGGCTCAAGCCCTGATGTCTCCTCAGGCCTTCTTTGGCTTGGTTTTTGAGGGGCTATGTACTAACTTTTGGGGACTTGGCTGTCCAAGCTATTGCACCCAACCTTCCCTGGGCCTCCTTGCTTTCTTGCTGCTTGGTGGCTGGCTTCTTGGATTTCTTTCCTGTGTTGCCTTGAGTTGGTTTCTCCTTGGACTTTCGCCTTGCCCTACTGTGGATTTTGCCAGGGCCTCGGTTGTCCGTCTGTCTCCCAGTGCTCGCCTCCTGGCCTCGTACTTGAGCATGAGCCGGGCCTCTCTCAGTCAAGACGGAGGGGTTGAACTACGGATTTCTTTGCCTGGCGACATCCAGGTCACTGTGCGTGCCCCTACTGCTTCTGCTGCACGTGCTGCTGAGCTTCTGGGCCACTCGACCCATTCTGCTGCCTCGGATCGTTCTTTTGAGTTGGTGTCTTCTGTGAGTGATCCCGAAGTTTCCTCGCCTCCTCGACCCAGGGTCTCTGAGACTCGTGATTCCATCCTGCGGTCTTTTGAGCCTTGCCCTGTATGTCTGTTTTCTCACTGTGCTCGGCTGTGTGGCTCTACCCTGTCAGGTAAAGAGCGGGTGGAAAGGGCGTGGTTGGCTGGTCAGTGGGCTGGTGCTGTCCGTGCTGAGACGGTGGGAAGCCCAAACGGCCCAAACCATACCCCCACTATCGATTTGCGACCAAGGTTCTCGCAGTGCTTCAGGCTCCTGGACTTCTCCGAGCCACCATCTTCCGCTCCAGTGCTTCCTACTGGGCTGGCATCGGATCACTTCAATGGTGCTAGGCTTTTTGAGACGTCATGGAAGGTCGTTGAGCTCAAGGACTATGGAAATTTACCTCCAGAAATTAATGGTATCAACTTTCCTTGAAAAAATCAAGCCAAAGACTAGGCAGTTAATTCATTTGTGCTCTGGGGAGTTTGCCATCGTTGTCGAGCGCACAATTGCTTTTCTTGACTCAGGCATACCCCCACAAGCATGGTTCACGCTTCTCAAAGTTGCTGCAGAGATTCCTATGAAGAATGTGGAAAAGGATGGGTCAAATGGTGGACATGCAAGCAGCTGCAACGCCAATTTAGGGGAGCAGCATGATGATCCTTCCCAGCATGATGGAATAAGGACACGCATAGCAGGACGTGGGCATCCTGCACACGCAGTGGCAAGGTTGTCTGTTGTCGGCAGCTGGGAGTTTGGGGCCAACCCACTGCAACGCCAATTTAGGGCAGCAGCATGATGATCCTTCCCAGCATGATGGAAAAAGGACACGCAGCGCAATTCCTATATGAATATATATATATATTTAAACATATAATCATATAAATATACATATAATATGTGTATATATGTATTTATATATGGTCGGTGCCAGAATTATATCATGAAAATGCTGGCTGCCCCCCCAGTTGCGCCCCCCCCCAGAAAAATAAGAACATAAACGGGATGCAACCAGCAGTGAAGGTTAATAAGCCCTTAGTATCAGGTTATTAACCAGCTAATAGACCTCTATTTGTTGGGACACAAAACAAGTTATTAACCAGCTATCGACAGCTTATTAACAGAGATTTTGCCATTTGGAACTGCGCATTTTATCGGTTTCCCATTGAAATCAGTAATAGATGGCTATTAAGGATTTCAGGTGGGCAATGAGTTTGTGGTGCTGTCAAAATAATGCCACCTTCCACGAGTTGCTTGAAACCACTAATAGATTGTTATTAAATATTTTTGGTGGGAAACTATTTTTGGAAGCGGTCCCAATACCTCCACTTCCCACGAGCTGCTTGAAACCACTCATAGATGGTTATTGAGGTTTTGAGATGGGCAATGTCATAGTTTTGCAGGGTGGAAAAATCAGCTTCCAGCAAATGATAAATGCTGGCCAGCATTCATATTCCTTTATTGTGAGAAGCATTGTGGCAAGGCTGTGAGGCCCGTCTTCCGAATACATTTCCCAAAGCAACCCTAAACGTTTGTGGTGACAACTACCCCTTATGTAAAAACAAAGTTTTTGGGTGCGCAAGGGACACCCACTCACTGCTCATGAGTGACGACAAATAGTGATGACATTTTTGTTTTTCCAAGCTGCGAGGGGCTTTGTCCTGTCCACTTTGTGGCACTTGGCTGGCCGGTTTGAGCTCGTCCCTTTAGGATTCTAGCCAATTCTAGCCATTTGTGGGGATGGCAGGTTTGAGAGGGCACACGGACAACCAAATCTCACTGCATAACAACCAACTATACTTTCATATATTTACAATGGAATTCCAATAAAAAAACTCTGGTTCTTACATTTCTATTGTTGACATTCACTGACCCCAGAAAAGTATTAGATGGATAATACCCATTTAATAGCCCATCCAATACCCCCTGAAACTCATGCATTGCGGTTTGAAGTTCCAACATTCATAGAGAGCTAACCCCCCCCTAGCCCCCCCCCCTTCCCAGAAAACCACATTAAGGCCTTAATAAGGCCTTAATAAGGCCTTAACTAGGCCTTATTTTGGTGGAAAAAAAATAAAGCCTAGTTAAGGCCAAATTAGCTTAATTCAGTCTTAATTTTGGTGACATTTGCCGTGTTTCATGTTTATTCAATTTCTCCAGTGTATTCCAAATTCTTTGGATGAAAATCCTTAATTTGGTCCTATTTGGTCCACTTCTCCCAATGTAGTCCGGTCTTTGGATGCATTTCATGACCTGGATGGGTGTAAGTTTGGTGGAAATATATTTCTTCATTTGGTGTACAATCCAGGCGGCGTATTTCCAGTGTCTATCATGTCAAATTGATTGGAATTACGCTTACTTAGGTCCTTCGCATTGTCTATGTATTTCAGAAATTTAAAATGTGCTTGTGCTTTTCCACCATTGGATCCTGAATTTGGTCTTAATATGGAAAATTGGATTTCCCATGGTTTTTTCCACCATTTGAGCCTTAATTAGGCCTTAATTAGGGCCTTAATTAGTCCACCATTTGGGCCTTAATTAAACCTTAATTAGGCCTTAATTGGGCCTTAATTAGGCCTTAATTGGGCCTTAATTAGGCCTTAATTAGATGAAAAACATTGCAAAAATAATGAAAACCAATGAAAACTGATGAAAAACATTGCAAAAACAATGAAAAACCAATGAAATTTGATGAAAAACAATGCAAAAACAATGAAAAAATAATGAAAAGGTTTGGCTCGAGGACTTCGACCCTGGCTCGAGGACTTCGACCCGTAGTTAGCGGAAAGACTGGCCCGAGGACTTCGACCCATCCACCCGGGGTACTACAACGGGGAAACACAACGGGGAAACAAAAAGGGAACACAACGGGAAAAAAATGGAAAAATGAAAAAAAAAAATATCTATAAATTTTAATTTTATTTAAGTGCTTTAAAACAATGTATGTATATAAATCGAATGAAAAAAAAACGAAAATTTCAGTTTTTTTTTGGAAATATTTTTTCATTTTTTTGATTTAGTTTATGGTAAAAATATGTTTTAAAACATTTTGATACACTATTGCATTTAAATCAAATGAAAAAATGAAAAAAATATTTCCAAAAAAAATCTGAAATTTTCGTTTTTTTTTCATTCGATTTATATACATACATTGTTTTAAAGCACTTAAATAAAATTAAAATTTATAGATATTTTTTTTTTCATTTTTCCATTTTTTTCCCGTTGTGTTCCCTTTTTGTTTCCCCGTTGTGTTTCCCCGTTGTAGTACCCCGGGTGGATGGGTCGAAGTCCTCGGGCCAAACCTTTTCATTATTTTTTCATTGTTTTTGCAATGTTTTTCATAAAATTGTGTTTTCCCTTTGTTTTTCACCATTTGAGCCTTAATTAGGCCTTAATTAGGCTCTAATTGGGCCTTAATTTAATTAGGCTTTAATTTGGTCTTAATTTGGAAAATTGTGTTTTCCCGGTGTTTTCCACCATTTGAGTCTTAATTAGGCCTTAATTAGGCCTTAATTAGGCCTTAATTAGGCCTTAATTAGGCCTTAATTTGGCCTTAATTAGGAAAATTGTGTTTTCCCTGTGTTTTCCACCATTTGAGCCTTAATTAGGCCTTAATTGGGCCTTAATTAGGCCTTAATTTGGTCTTAATTTTGAAATTTTGATTTTCCCTGTGTTTTTCCACCATTTGAAGCTTAATTGGCCCTTAATTTAGTCTTGGTTTGGAAAATTTGATTTTTCCTTGTGGTTTTTGTTCGTTGGGTTTAATTGGGTCTAATCTGGAAACTTGCGAACGTTGAAGCGTGAAAGTCAAAATAGTTGCTTGTTCGCTTCAGCGCAGTTCTTTATTCGTAACTTGGAAACGTTCAATTTCCTTTTTTTTGGTTAAAATCTTAATTTGATTTGGTGCGTTCCTCTGTTTGTTCAAAAATTCACTTGGGTCTTTGTTTGTACACATGTTTACTCTTTTGACCCAAGACAAAATTCTATGAATGTAGGAAAGACCCTTGAAAGCCAATTCAGTAATCCCATCAAAGAATTAAGGCCAAATTAAGCACTTTGAACCAAAAATTGGGGAAAACCACTCAACCCTTAATTTGGCCTTAATTAAGGCCTACTATAGGCGGGGGGGGCTAGGGGGCGGGAGGGGTTAGCCTTCTGTGAAACATTCATTGGGGATCCAAAAAATTTCAAAGTAAATGGATACGAATCGGAATTCTGGTTGCCTCCCCACGATGCGCCTCATAAAATAATGACAGGCCAAATCTTCAATTGCAAACCTTTTGCTCTCAAATCTTCCAAAGCAGAATCCCTTAATAACCAGCTAATAAGAAAGCATATGCCCATGTCTGTTTACGCACTGCGATTCCAACGCTCGAGCTCCAAAACGGAACTGAAACCCTTAATAAACAGCTAATAAGAAAACACCTGCCCGTGAGTGTTTGCGCGCTGTATTTCCAACGCGCGAGCTCCAAAATGGAAGAGAAACCTTTAATAACCATCTAATATCAAAACCACATGCTTGTGATTATTTGCGCGCCTTGTCTTCAGTGCGCGCCTCCAAACCGGAACCAAAAAACTTAATAACCTGCTATTAATTTTTGGTGCCACCTTGCAATCCGGGGGGGGCGCAACTGGGGGGGGCAGCCAGCATTTTCATGATTATAGAACGGAAGTTGAGGAGTACGAAGGTACGGTTATTTACCGTACCCTGTTGTTCTATAATTCTGTTTTCCTCGGAAGGTATGAAAAAAAGTATCTTAACTTACTCCTAACTTTTTTCGTCGTTCTATAATTCTTGTTTGTCCTATGTTATTCTATAATTGTGTTTTCCCCCATGTTTCCCACATTTCCCATTTTTGTTCTATAATTAATTTTACCGTTCTATAATTAATTTTGCGGAAGCCGTTCTATAATTTTGCGGAAGGGTATCTACGGTATATGTGAAATTATGTGTTGTATATGTACAATTATGCAATAAATATCATGGAGGTGCCAGAAATTAAAGAACGGAAAAATTAATTATAGAACGGAAAATTAATTATAGAACGGAAAAAATATAGAACGGGAAAATTTAATTATAGAACAGGATCCGAATCCGCGCGGAATCGGGATCCGGAGGAGTACGAAGGTATATACGGTATTTTACCGTACTTTTGTACTCCTGGCTCCGTTCTATAATTCTGGCACCGCCTGTATATATATATATATATCAATATCATGGATTGATGGGATTCTTCTTGGGACCCTTACCTGGTTAAATCCTGGTAATTTCTACCCTGGTTTCTGCCAGGTGCACCATGTAGGCCTCCAATCCAGGAATGTGGAGAAGGCGGTGGTGACGATGGGTCAATCTCCAGCCCCTAGGAGGGTTTCACCTCCAGCCGTTAAGGCCCCACTAGATGTGAAATTTCCCCCAAAAATCTTCGGATATCTTGGGATTATGTTTTTTGAGCCACTGCCATATGAATATAGAAAACCAGTCTCAATTGAGAAGATGATTTCATTGTCTTTCGCGCTATGGGATGCGTTTACACTGCCTCATTGGGTCAGAGGATGTCATGATTGTTGACATAGTAGTTAAAGGCCATGATTGCTGTTAAAGGCCATCATAGTGGGATTGTAGTGACTATTGCTGTTAAAGGCCAGAAACCCGCACTATGATTTCTTGACCCATAGAGTTGTCTCAAAATTTTGACCCCCAAAATCCCATGGTTTGGGGAATCTCCAATGTGAAAACAAACACGTTGTCATTATCTTGGTAAAACATAGCACATTATATCCTTCCGTTGTTTCTTTTGGTACCCACTCTGATCTCATTCTATTCAAGGATGAATATACCATAATACACCTATTAATGATAGTTGGTTCTTGTACCAGATATACCACTATTTGTTGGACAACGCCACCTTTTTGTTGGTTCAAATTTCCAATTTTCACCGATGTTTCCAATCTATTTCCTACCAACGTGGCCATGATTTGTGGGTAAATCCGACATGGAGCGACCTGTTCTTGACCTCATTGGTAGATATTTCCATGGAATAAAAACTCCCAAAATAGATGCTTTATTCTTTCAAAAACCTATGAACAAATGGATGATTTAGGGGTACCCCCATGACTTGAAGGACACCTTCATATCATTGGCACCTTCATATCATTTGCTGGTGAGTTATCCATTGAAATTGGACCAAGCCACCGACTTGAGATCCCTCAAGACGCCTCAGGGCGAAGTGCAGATGTGGCTGCACCCCGGCCCCAGCATCCTCTCAGGATTGGGCCGAGATGGGCCGGGAAGGCGCCAATTTCACCTGGCGAAACATGGGAGTTAAGCAACGAAACATGGGGATCTAATTCTTGATATTGATGTTGTTTCTTTTTGGGATATATGTGTGTATATACACTACATCTATATACAGATATTGATGGGTTTTTTCCTTTTTGGGAGAGATGTATATATATATACATATCCATCACCAACTTGACTTGAGGTACCGTACATAATCCATGGATGGATCATATCATTTTCCCTATTGTTGATGGTCATGGATGGGTATAATACTCCATGTTCAGAGATACCCACATTGGAATCTCACAAGCTAAATGCTGACCGGGGATTTAATGGCACAATTGGGTGTGCAACTGGGAAAAAAGAAACTTACCGGCAAGTAATGGACATATTTCTGGGCAAGAGTCAAAAGCGGGAATTTAAGAAAATTAGCCTGCGACCTAGTATCAAACCACCCAATTTTTGAGTACCAAATTTTGACCCACAGCCATTTCAATCGCATATTTGAAGCACTTGAATTCCGCAGCAAGTCCCGCGAATTCCTGAAACTGCAGAGCGAAAGCGTCCAGTTTCGCTAGCCAGATCATGCGAGGTGCCAAAGTTACCACAAGTGGTTGCCAGCAACAAAGTTACCATAAGTGGTTACCATAAGTTACCATGTGTGGAAATCTCTTTTGTTGCTGGGTAGATACAGTGGTTGTCCTGTAAAGTTACCCATGAAATTGCATCAACATCTACTCAATCTACTGTAATGAAATGAGTCGGAAAGACACCTGAAATCATGGATTGTCATGGAGTTTCTACTTCTACATGACTTATCCGGTCACCAGGGCTCTGTGTTTCCCTTCCTTCGCACATCAGTGCACCTTTGCCCGCCGTTTGCCACTCAAAGCTCTTTACTTCCGAACTTTCAGACTCAGGAGTGCGAGAAGCATCAGAAAAACTCACAAGTTACGTCGTCATTAAGCATGCTGTTGCACATGACCCCTCATACCCACCAGTAATAATCAAGCACAAAAATAATGAATAATCCACCATTCAGTTTGATGATATCCCCAGCTATAAACCTCCATTTTTCGCAAACTTCCCAGCCACGTTTGATGACACCGAAGTGTACCCCCCAGTCACTTGCCATCCCAACAGTGTCAGATGGGGTCCACAGAGCCTGGCTCCTCAAGTGCTCTAGCTAGAGATTTGTGAGGTTCTTGTTTTTTTTCTCGAAGCTTTTAAATCAAAGTTTCCAATCAGGAAACCATTGAAACCAGCACTAAATTTATCAATCAACCAGCACTAGTTCTCAGAAAGGTATTTCCATACAATATGGATGAATATGTTGGATATAGCATTCCAGATATGGAGAAATAGATATCAACCCAAATATATATATATATATACACACACACATATTTCTCAATCTCCAAGATGCCCAGATTCTGAGGTCTGAGAAAGTATATTTCCAGAACGGCCGTCGCGTTGCGAAGAAAGACTGGGAGGTGGTCGCAGTGGATTTTCCTAGCCTGCCTGCAGCCTGCAGAACATCAACAAAAAGCATCATGTGAACTATGGGAAAATGACCATTTTCAAGGGGAAATATGGGGAAATACGGGGAAACATGGGAAGATGAGGTCTTAATCCATGGGCTTTTAGGGTGAGGGTACCAAACATTGTCAGACAAATCCGTCATGAGTGGACATCACAACGGACGATGTTTCTTGTTGGGTTTGGATCAGAAATAGGGTACCCATTTTTGGACCCCCATGAGGCGTCCAATGGTGTGGTAAAAAAAAGGCCCCATTATGAAAAATTGCCACAACATGATGGACCACATATTTATGTAGTATAGCACATTGAAGCAGGGGCTAAATCTGTAGCCTATCCTGGTTGGTTTTACATCCCAGTTTTGCTGGCTAGATGCCCGCGACTTGGGGATACACCCAAAGTCAGCCCTAGATGTTCTGGCAGGAGCACGTTGATGTCGCCAAACAACTGGGTCAGAATGCCGCGGGCATAACGTTGGGAACCAGAGCCGAGGATGACCATGCTTCGGCCAAGGGAGGAGTGTGGATCATTTTGGGGTTGCATCGGACAATGACGTCACCGCGAAGTCACTGGAATGATAGTTGGTAGGTGGGAACTATCCCCAAATGGCCTTGTTTTTTCAGCTTGGTGAATGATTTGAATTTAGACAGAAGATGACAGAAGTATGTTCGCTGGAAGAGTCATGAATTCAGTTGGCTCACCACGTTTGACCCACGGGTGGGAAAACCACTCATGGCTGTTGGGTAGATTCTCCTGGATTGGTCTGATAAGCACCCGAAATAGTTGGCATATGATGCTCAGGAAGCGAAAGCATGCCCAAAACCAATACTACCTACATTGTAAATCCTTATAAATGATCATTCTACTACATTAATGAATGAATAGTATCAGTACTATTAATATACTTAGCATTGTAATGGTATAAGTACTACATACATATTTTGAACATATGATCATTATAAATCACTATACCTCATCATAGTCATCGTTTCCGCACGTAACCATAGTATCCTGATACAATGATCAATATCGATACATGATCATTGTAAATCACTATACATCATCATAGTCATCGTTTCCGTATACATGATCGTAGTTTAAATCATAGTCACTTCACATATAAATCACTATACATGATCATAGTCATCATATAGTTTATCAACTTCGACGGACCCTTCCGCCGCTTTTCATTGAGGCGGAGATTGATCCTCTTCGACGGCCAGTGCAGGCGATCTGTGACCGGCAAAGTTCGAAATCCAGCGGAGTCGGGGACTTGGGGTCCTGATATTGCTATAGTTATGACTAACTATATCAAGCACATAATATTTTATGTATATACATTATATAGTTTACATTAAATAGTTATGACTAACTAACTATAGTTTATATATGTATATATATTATGTGATTTATGTGTATCTACACACAATTAACATGAGTAACGTGGAAGTATTCAGTGGAGGGCCTCATATCCAGTCGTTGGACCGGTTGCGACCACAACGCAACAAGCGCAACGCGTTGCCGTCGTGACAGGCTCTGCCTTGGTTTCGTCGCCATCGTGACAGGCAGACGAAGGGTGCTTGATGTAGGTATTGTTTTGATGATGATGATTATTATTAGGTGACTACATCGTGCATATATATATATAGATATATATATAAGTATATATATATAAGTATATATATAAGTATATATATATATAAGTATGTATATAGATATGTAAGTATATATATAGATATATATAAGTATATGCATATAAGTATATATATATAACTATATATATATATGTATAGGTATAGAGATATATAGGTATAGAGATATATAGGTATATATAAAGGTATATATATATAGGTATAGAGATATAAGTATATAAGTATATAAGCATATAAGCATATAAGCATATAAGTATATAAGTATATAAGTATATAAGTATATAAGTATATAAGTATACAAGTATACACGTATATAAGTATACAAGTATATAAGTATATAAGTATATAAGTATATAAGTATATAAGTATATAAGTATATAAGTATATAAGTATATGTATGTATAAGTACGCGCAAACACCCCGTTTTTCCCACACCCTTCTTGTCTTGGGAAGATCAGCAAAGGTATTAGGGAATATAAAAGTCCCACCCCGGTTAAACTTTACATTCATTTTACATTCATTGAAGATCTTCAATAAGAGTTTAATTCTCCCACCCCCGCTAAACTTCTACATTCATTGAAGATCTTCAATAAGGGTTCAATTCTCCCACCCGCGTTAAACCTCTACATTCATTGAAGGCCTTCAATACGGGTTCAATTCTCCCACCCCCGTTAAACTTCTACATTCATTGAAGATCTTCAATACGGGCGGGTTTAATTCTTCCAGCCCCGTTAATCTTCTACATGTATTGAAGATCTTCAATAAGGGTTTAATTCTCCCACCGGGGTTAAACTTCTATATTCGTTGAAGATCTTCATTGATGATGCTGCTGATGATGATGATGATGATGATGATGTGGAACGAACCCGCACAGGTCCCTCTGCTGTGCGTTCTGATCTAGAACATCAAGTTAACCATAATGCTAATGCTAAAATATGCCATTTTTACCACATTTTCAGCTCATACAAAGAAGGCGGGCCAACAGGCGCGGGCAAGACGAGGTGTTTGGCCGTATAAGTATATAAGTATATATCTATATAAGTATTTATATATATAAATATATATTTAAAAAGTATATATATAATTATATATATAAGTATATATATAAGTATATATATAAGTATATATATATATAAGTATATATAAGTATATATATATAAGTATATATATAAGTTTATCTAAAAGTAATTATATATATATAAGTATATATAAAGCATTTATATATATACACGTGTATATTATAAATATAAGTATATATAAGTATATATAAATATACATATGTATATATAAGTATATAAAAGTGCATAACAGCATATATAAGTATATATACGTATATATAAGTATATCAACGTATATTTAAGTAAATATAAGTATATATCAGTATATATAGGTATATATAAGTACATATAAGTATATATAAGTATATATATAAGTATAAATATGTAAGTATATAAAGATATTTAAGTATATATATATAAGTATATAAATATATATAAGTATATATATAAGTATATATATATAAGTATATATATATAAGTATAAATATATATAAGTATATATATATAAGTAAATATAAAAGTATATATATAAGTATATTTATATTTAAGTATATATACATTTAAGTATATATATATAATAAGTATATATGTATATAAGTATATATATATAAGTATCTATATATATACGTATATATATATATGTTTATAAGTATATATATAAGTACATATAAAAGTATATATATATCTTTAGGTGTATATATAAGTATATATATATAAATTTAAACATGACAGTAT